TTCGTAACTGAGGTAAAACAGTAATTCTGCACATAGATTATGCATGTATGAACTATACATTGAGACATCCAGCCCAAAGCGGGAGGTTAAAAATTACTTACTAGTCCCAAATTTCCAGAGCATGTCTTTTTAATATGCTAACCTTGTTTTAGCATCGACTCGTTCAGCCTCTGTGATTTAGCAATTAGTCCTATGCTTCTTGTTTTGCTTTGCCTAATCAAGCATCTATAATGAAACATCATGGAGTTTATCATTCATTGGCCAATCTGTGCACCTCCCACTGCTCTACTTAGAATCCAACCCCCCACTTCAAGCATGTATGGGGGATTTAAAGAGTGTTAGATTTCATAATCCAAACAAATAGGAATACACTTGAGATCCTATAGCCTGGATCTGAGGCTTTCCATTCCCTGTGTTTTCTCTCATTGCAATAGGAGATGGTTCAGCTTCTTAACCCAAACAGAAAGAGGTGACATTGAGAGCAGATGAGGTGGGTAGACTGGGTAACGTACACTCAGGCTTTTGACGCAGTGCTATGTGATTGCATTGCAAACATGTGCCTGTTGCGAGGGACAGGTGTGTGTCTGGCTGTGTGTGTGCCAGGGAGGGGGAGGCAGCAGCTAGAAGGGACAGGTGTGTGGTGGAGAGAAAGGGTGTTTGTATTTATTCCTCAGTGGGTTCCTAACTATCCAAGGCCACAGTTGCTGTCTTGGGATCTGACTCAGCAGTCAACACCTTATGCCACATGGGTGTCCTGTCCCCCTCACTATCAAAATGATTGTGGTGGGATAGCATTTGATGATGACAAATCACATGCTATTCCATTCGATCTATTCTATTCTATTCTGGAAGCATGGGAAAATGTGAAGGTACTCCCTTCCTGTGGGGTTAGCCATATAATCATCCACCCTTCACCAGCATAGCAGCAGTACAGGGTGGAGCAGCAGCTTGACGCTCTTATCCTGACTGACACATAAAACCACGGCAACCGTGTAAAATTATATTTTTGTAATCCCTGGAAACGGATGACCTTGAGCCCGTCTGACCTTCCGTCCCTGGGCCCCAGTTAGTGTGATCGGCATCTACCACACGGCTGGGGTTAGGGGTGCTGTGGAGAGGGAGAGCGTGTCTGATAGCTGAAGTGTCCGTATTTTGTCCACTGTTCTGTTTTTCCTCATGTCATGTTATACACATGTCATATGTAGGGCTACAACCGTAAATCTCGCTCAACAGACAAGCTTATTAATGGCCAGATGTCACCAATGGACATAATCGTTTCCCCTCTCTTGCCTGGACACCATTGGTAGCAATATGTTACAAGTAAACAAACATTCTGTACTGTCTGTACATGGTCAATCAAAAGCACAAACTGAAAGTTTTTTAAAATCCTTCTCCATGAGGTAATGGCATCAATATGTGGTAGACAGAAGGCGAGAGGCTTTCCAAAATCTCATGTTAAATAATAATACGCTTCATTTTCATTACATCAGCGAGAAGAGCACATAGACATTTTAAAGAGGGTTACATGAGTTGAAAGTGGTGTTTGCCTTGGTTGACATTAAATATTGAAGGCAGTAGCCCTCGTGTCCTTAATGCTTGAAAAAACACATTTTCTATTTGACCACAGAAGTCTCGTAAGAGGACTCAAATTAAGATCCACTAGAGCTATGTTTCTAAATGTTATGACAGGTAGTTGGAGACATATTTCAACATTGAACATATTTTTGGGCGTCTTCTCTGATTATAGGCTCTAGTGCAGTATGGCATTTTCACCAGTATCTTGGTGTTTGTTTAACCATTAGACACAGATGCACCAACCCAAGCTCTCCGGATGTAATGCTAGCTGGACAAATGACAAGGTCAGGCCACCGCCCCACATATACTTTAATGGTTACTTTGGGTTGGAGTTCTTTGGCTCAAGGCCCGACATAGGCTTAAATTACTATCCACACACCATAAGCAAGGTCATTATCAAAGGTTCTGTTCCAAACGGCAGCCTGGCAGTCTGTTAGAGATTAGACACAGGCCCTAGGACAGTGGGTCAAACCAGCACTGCCCACTAGTCTCATTCCAGTCCCACCAGTTCAACAGACTTCTTCACTACTGAATCAATAGTTAAAGCTGTTTTAATGAAAGGTCTCCTTCATTTAGTGAGTACTTGTCTTTTTACATAATAGATGAAGACTAGCATGTGTGTGGATGGTGGAGTCATGCCCATAGGGGGCACAGGGGCACTTGCCCCCTCAGATAAAACAAAAAAAAGTTGGCTTTAGTTAACCCAGATAGGTTCCCAACCTCATAACTAGCTACCAAGAAGCCATTTCAGACTATCAATCAAGTTCGAGTAGATAGTTAGACATGCTATCTTACCTGGAATGCCTTCTGGCAAGACTGGTAGACTTAACTAAATGTACTGAATAAGACTCATATTTTACTAGAGATGCAGAGAAGCATATTTCGTTTCTTTAAAAAAAGAACCACTCTATCCTATCTATCAATCAATCAAATGTATTTATAAAGCCCTTTTTACATCAGCAAATGTCACAAAGTGCTATACAGAAACCCTAAACAGCAAACAATGCAGATGTAGAAGCACGGCGGCTAGGAAAAACTCCCTAGAAAGGCAGGAACCTAGGAAGAAACCTAGAGCGGAACCAGGCTCTGAGGGGTGGCCAGTCCCCTTCTGGCTGTGCCGGGTGGAGATTATAACAGTTCATGGCCATTAAGGCCAGATTGTTCTTCAAGATGTTCAAACGTTCATAGATAACCAGCAGGGTCAAATAATAATCAGTGGTTGTAGAGGGTGCAACAGGTCAGTACCTCAGGAGTAAATGTCAGTTGGCTTTTCATAGCCGAGCGTTCAGAGGTCGAGACAGCAGGTGCGGTAGAGAGAGAGTTGAAAACAGCAAGTCCGGGACAAGGTAGCACGTCCGGTGAACAGGTCAGGGTTCCATAGCCGCAGGCAGAACAGTTGAAACTGGAGCAGCAGCACGACCAGGTGGACTGGGGACAGCCGGGAGTCATCAGGCCAGGTAGTCCTGATGCGGGACACTAGATAAGACAGGAGAATTACACCAGAAATAACAGACTGACCCTAACCCCCTGGCACATGGACTATTGCAGCATAGATACTGGAGACTGAGACGGGGGTGGGTCGTGGGACACTGTGGCCCCGTCCAACGATACCCCTGGACAGGGCCAACCAGGCAGGATATAACCCCACCCACTTTGCCAAAGCACAGCCCCCACACCACTAGAGGGATATCAACAGACCGCCAACTTACTACCCTGAGACAAGGCTGAGTATAGCCTACGAAGATCTCCTCCACTGCACGAGCCCAAGGGGGGCGCAAAACCGGACAGGAAGATCACGTCTGTGACTCAACCCACTCACTAGTCAGGAGGATACAGACTTAGAGGCCTGCGGGTCCTGACAGAGAGCATTGCGGCACGGTCTGCATTTTTCAGGCTGTGGTTGGGAGCAGGCGGTCAGATCAGACAACTTTGGGATTATACTTTTTTTTGTCCCACAGATTATTTGGAAACGGTCATCTTTCTGCTTTGTATGCTTTATTCTACATATTGTATTAAAAACACCTCTGTCGCATTATTCACACTCAGAATTCGCTGCTTCAAGTTCAGTAGCCTACCTCTCCTCTCCTAGTTGGATGTGCGAGATCAAGGGAGCCTAGTATATGTGTGGTCTCAATGAAGTAGAGTAGGCTGCCTATGCATGGGCGGAGAATCACAAGGCAGTACTATATGATTATGCTATAGTTTACTACATAGCCTAGAAGTAAATATTGATCGCCCATATTTGTCTCCATCTGAAAATTGTCCCACTCCTAAAAGGTAGGCTATAAAATGTAGCTCAAGAGAAAGTGCAAGTATTTGCTCTCTTTCCAACTCTGCTCTCTTCAAACTACATCTAGCCTATTGGCTGATATAGCCCAGTAATACAGATAGCCTAATATAATGGGCCCAGTGAGAATCTCTGGAAATGTAACCTATTTCCTAGGTTATTTTTGTGCAATTTGATATTGCCTATAGGGTACAAAGTTGCTGGAACCATGGCTGGCAAATGAGCTGCGTCGTCACATACGCCTAAAATAACATTGCGAGACTGCGGTTGGGTTCGGGACCAGTTCTTACGGTAGCTTGTGGGAGTCGGACAGAAAGACTGTGGGTTGGGGCAGTATGAAAACCTGCGGGCGGGAGCGGGATGCCATCCTCACGTACTTTGTGCCCCCTCAGATCTTTGGGGTGCATGACGCCCCTGTGGGTGGAGAATCAATCAGTCAGCATGACTGGCTGTCTGTCTGAGTAGCAGCAGCATCATGGTGGTGTAGTACTGAACTAGGAGGAGCAGGGGATAAGCAGCTTTACTTGTCTAGTCAGCTGAGGACAAGTTTTCCGCTGATAGTGTGGTGCAGTGTGTGTGTGTGTGTGTTTGCTTGCACTCCCATGTGCTCATGTTCACATGTGTATCTGATATTTGTAAGTGCTTTCTTGTATGTAAGCTTTAAGTGTGTGTTTTAGATGGGCATCCTGTTTTCATGATGGACATATGAACACCTTGTATTGAAAGGGGGATTTGAGATTTACAACCTACAGAAAGACCAAGGTCGCTGTTGTGTCAAATGACAGCCAAGAGCACAGTTGATGCTATATGAGACTTCTGCTTTGTCCATTGTTGGACAAATTGATACTCTTTATATAACATCCCCACTGGGCATCCCTCTGTCTGTACTGTCTCTGTACACGACCTGCCTGAAACTCTCTAGCTTAGCCTATAGCTATCGCATTGTGGAAGGAGGGGAGTATTCATGCATGATTCTGCAGTGATCCTTTTAAAGATTGCTTCTCTTCATGCAATCACTACTCATTCTGATGTTCCGTGAAAACAATATGTACACTTGTCAGGATGTATAACATCCTGTGAACATCTGTAATAATAACTAATACTGTAATAATAAGTATTTTATGTTTTGTTCTTCCAGGAGACCCTCCAGCAGCTGGTGATGATGCCTCTTCCCAACGTGCTTGTGCTGGGCAGGAACCCTCTCAGTGGTACGTCTGTCATCTGACTGATCTGCCAACAATACACACTGTTACACTGATCAGCCATCAAATGTTACAGTGTGTATAATACACACTCTGTTACACTGGGATATAATGTGCTTTTTGAACCCTTTATTACTTCATTATTATGCAACGTACATGTAGGTTTGTTGCATTTCACAGTCCCCTTTTCATCTTGAAATCAGTTTTCCTCACGTCAAACCTTGTGTGTAGATTTAAATTCCCACAGCTAGAATTAGTCTCGGTTTTCTTCATGGTACAATATTGGCATATTGGCTGGCTAAATAAAATCAAGATCAAACCAGCCATTGATTGTATTGTCAAAATACTGTGATTTGGAAAACACTATGCTGGTTTATTGAATCTTGAATCATTCTGCTACTGTGAAACTTAGCTAGTATCTGCGTCTAGAGTCAAGACCTAGACAACACAGCCATGTCATTTGATACTCCTATGTGCAAAGTATTATCAGACCAACTCAAAGTCCTGAACCAAAATGTGGCATTCCGGTCTCTTTCCTGTGACCTTTGACCCTAGTTGTGTGCAGGGGTGCTGGTATCTGGAGCCATCTGAAAGTGATTGACCATGTGGCTTTTATTATGCAGTCATTAAGGCTCAGTGGGTTATGGGCCTATTATCAGCACTGGGAATCCAGAATCCACCCCGGGCTCTGATTTATTAACCCACTCTGTACTAAACACTAAAAAACCCTGCTCCTCTGAGCCCACTAACTCATCTGGTTCCCTCTCCCCTCCTGCCCCCCTACCCCAGACTGTCTGTTGAAATCAGATGCAACTTCCACACTCAATATCACTTTGATTCAGTCTAATCCAGCTTCAAAATGGAAAGCACTTAGACCAGCTAGAACACAATGTGCTCCTGAAGGCTAATCTCCTGTTCAATGTGGACAGTCATGCCATGTCTGTGTCTTTATAGTGAAACTACTTCTCCTTGGGTCCAACGATCAAGCCTTTATTTCAGAGACTGGGCATGAGTGTCAGTTTCCTGCCACGTAGAGAGCAGTTTGTACCTACTTTGTATTGCTGACATTGTAAGTGTGGTCATTTAGATGCCAGAGAAGTGTCCCTTTTCAGGAACAATGACAATTGTAAGGAGATGTATGCACAAATGTATGCACTCACTAACTGTAAGTCGCTCTGGATAAGAGCGTCTGCTGAATGACTAAATTGTAAAATGTATAAGTGCTCTCCAATGACAGGTGGAGGCAGGCCAGAGTGGCAGTCATCAGCAATGCTATGTGGGGTTCTGGGAAGGTCAGGAAACCTGAAGTCACATTTAGAATCCTGAAGATGGTTAGAACACCTGGGGCCTCATTTATAACCGTTACGTAAATTTAACACTAAATATCTGCGTGTGCCATTTCTGAAAAGACTGCACACGCACCAAAATATTGAGATTTATCAACTTGGCGCACGCCATACATATGCATGTTTCCTGTTATAAATCAAACCTGTCGTAAAAAAGTGTGTGCGTGAACGAGCATTATACAGTGGGGAGAACAAGTATTTGATACACTGCCGATTTTGCAGGTTTTCCTACTTACAAAGCATGTAGAGGTCTGTAATTTTTATCATAGGTACACTGTGAGAGACGGAATCTAAGACAAAAATCCAGAAAATCACATTGTATGATTTTTAAGTAATTAATTTGCATTTTATTGCATGACATAAGTATTTGATACATCAGAAAAGCAGAACTTAATATTTGGTACAGAAACCTTTGTTTGCAATTACAGAGATCATACGTTTCCTGTAGGTCTTGACCAGGTTTGCACACACTGCAGCAGGGATTTTGGCCCACTCCTCCATACAGACCTCCTCCAGATCCTTCAAGTTTCGGGGCTGTCGCTGGGCAATATGGACTTTCAGCTCCCTCCAAAGATTTTCTATTGGGTTCAGGTCTGGAGACTGGCTAGGCCACTCCAGGACCTTGAGATGCTTCTTACGGAGCCACTCCTTAGTTGCCCTGGCTGTGTGTTTCGGGTCATTGTCATGCTGGAAGACCCAGCCACGACCCATCTTCAATGCTCTTACTGAGGGAAGGAGGTTGTTGGCCAAGATCTCGCGATACATGGCCCCATCCATCCTCCCCTCAATACGGTGCAGTCGTCCTGTCCCCTTTGCAGAAAGCATCCCCAAAGAATTGATGTTTCCACCTCCATGCTTCACGGTTGGGATGGTGTTCTTGGGGTTGTACTCATCCTTCTTCTTCCTCCAAACACAGCGAGTGGAGATTAGACCAAAAAGCTATATTTTTGTCTCATCAGACCACATGACCTTCTCCCATTCCTCCTCTGGATCATCCTGATGGTCATTGGCAAACTTCAGACGGGCCTGGACATGCGCTGGCTTGAGCAGGGGGACCTTGCGTGCACTGCAGGATTTTAATCCATGATGGCGTAGTGTGTTACTAATGGTTTTCTTTGAGACTGTGGTCCCAGCTCTCTTCAGGTCATTGACCATGTCCTGCCGTGTAGTTCTGGGCTGATCCCTCACCTTCCTCATGATCATTGATGCCCCACGAGGTGAGATCTTGCATGGAGCCCCAGACCGAGGGTGATTGACCGTCATCTTGAACTTCTTCCATTTTCTAATAATTGCGCCAACAGTTGTTGCCTTCTCACCAAGCTGCTTGCCTATTGTCCTGTTGCCCATCCCAGCCTTGTGCAGGTCTACAATTTTATCCCAGATGTCCTTACACAGCTCTCTGGTCTTGGCCATTGTGGAGAGGTTGGAGTCTGTTTGATTGAGTGTGTGGACAGGTGTCTTTTTTACAGGTAACGAGTTCAAACAGGTGCAGTTAATACAGGTAATGAGTGGAGAACAGGAGGGCTTCTTAAAGAAAAACTAACAGGTCTGTGAGAGCCGGAATTCTTACTGGTTGGTCGGTGATCAAATTCTTATGTCATGCAATAAAATGCAAATTAATTACTTTAAAATCATACAATGTGATTTTCTGGATTTTTGTTTTAGATTCAGTCTCTCACAGTTGAAGTGTACCTATGATAAAAATGACAGACCTCTACATGCTTTGTATGTAGGAAAACCTGTAAAATCGGCAGTGTATCAAATACTTGTTCTCCCCACTGTAACTACGCCTGAAAAACGCCCATCATTCACCTTTTGTGGTGAAGATAACGCATTTATTTGCTGTAGATTGGAAGTATTGGAATTAGTCCAAGACAGTATCTAAAGGAAATAGCGATGGCGACCTTGATCAAATGTCTTTGGAGGGATTGGCAGAATGTTTTCTTTTGCAGTGACATTTACTGTATCTGACCAGTTTCTGAAGGGCAAAAACAATAGCAAATTGTTGTGGACCTGTAAACAGATCGTTTGAATGCAATAATGTTTTGCATTCACATTTTCTCAAACCTAAATATTCCGCACTGACGTTGTTTACTCGGGGGGAAAAAATGAAAACTACAGTAGGCCTACTTACAGTGGTAGCCTACACACTTCAATGCAAAATATCAACTGTATGTTCACCTGTTCATCTTATGAACCGTGCTCCCTGTCGGATGCATAGAGCAAAGACTTAAAATTATCTAATAGGCCCAATTTAAACGAGAGATGTGCATAGTAATTTGTTGTATAGCTACATCGGGAATATGAACTCCGCTGTCTCAACATGCAATGGTTATATGTATGTATGTATGTATGTATATGTGTTTATAAATGAAATATATGTTTATAAATGAAATATTGTCTACTTGAGAAATTCGACATTGCATTATTCAGATGTAGCCTACAAATGTCAATGGAAAAGGTGAACCGTCTGTTCTACCGTTAAACTGCGCTTCAGATTAGATCACAGAGCAAAATACTCTATTTACAGCTGTGACATGGGTCCAATTAAATGAGAGATGGGACGAATGTTAGCCTATACTAACTTGTAGGCCTATAGGCTATTTGGCGACACGAGTAGCCTATGAAACTTTTGGTCAGAAAAGGTGAGGAATCTATTCTGCAATGATCATGGAAATAAAATAAATAATAGGAAATGTATGCCTATTTCTAATTATTTTAGAATGCAAAGATAAGAAAAAAGTAAAATGTCGCTCTTCGCACTAATGGCAAATGTTTGCATCTTGTTATTATATTTAGTTAGGCTACTAGTTGTATTTATTTTTATGAATAACATTTGCACAAGGCTACTACTTTGCCTCTTGCAATGCAATACTTCAACCACTAGAAACTGCGTAGACATGGTCTATAAAGTTTGTGGGAGCATAAGCATATTCTCACGTCAAGTTTAGTTTTTATAAATGCCAAGTTTTGCGTGAACTGGCACACACATATTTTGAGGCATATTTTGTGCATATGCAATGTTTATAAATGAGGCCCCTGGGGAGTAGTGGAAATAAGTGATTTATGAAATCAGTTTCAGTGAAATGAGCAAAAGTCTGGTCTTTTCTTTCTCATCAGAGGAACCATGAGTAGTCCCTGACCCACATTATAGATATAATGAATAACAATTATTGGGCCAATTGACAAAATACGCTGTGTACAAAACATTAGGAACACCTGCTCTTTCCATGACATAGACTGACCATGTGAAAGCTATGATCCCTTACTGATGACACTTGTTAAATCCACTTCAATCAGTGTAGATGAAGGGGAGGAGACCGGTTAAAGAAGGGTTTTTAAGCCTTGAGACAATTGAGACATGGATTGTGTATGTGTGCCTTTCAGAGGGTGAATGGGCAAGACAAAAGATTCAAGTGCCTTTGAACGGGGTATGGTAGTAGGTGCCAGGCGCACCGGTTTGAGAGTGTCAAGAACTGCAACGCTTCTGGGTTTTTCACCTGTATGCCCCAGCGTTACTCAGAGGCCTTGGGCCCCTTCTCCCTGGTAGGACCCCCCTCGCCAGGTTCCTGTGAACAATGGCTGGGCAGGAAGGGTTGCAGCAGAGGGGATGGTCACTGTCTGTGCGCCCCTGTGAGTTTCCTGCCAGGAAGAGCGGAGTGTAGCGACCGAGGAAAGGAGCCACACTAGGCACATACAGCACTATCATAACAAAGCCTGCGGAGCCAAACCTCAGCAGAGCCAAGGCTGCTGAAGGGAAATTTCCATCTATTTTAAACCTCCTCCTCTTCCACTCTCTCCCCCATCTCTTTCCTTCTGTCTCTCGCTTTTTCATCTCTCTCCGTCATCTCTCCTTCTCTCCAGACATGCTTGGTTCAGTCAGCTTCTTAAATTATTTATCCAGCGCCTGCCTGCTCATTATCTACAGCGCTCAACAAGATTTGCTTTCTAAATCACTGCACAGGCTTCTTTGTGTAGGCTCTGTGTGTGTATGAATCCTTCTTAAGGCTTTCAGTTAGAAGAAATAGCATTTAGAAGGCATTCGTAACAGCTGGCCTTCTGTACTCAGAATATAATCTAGAACAGACTACTCTCATATTCCCGAAAGGACCACACACACCACCGCTTTTTCGGCGTGGTCCCACCACCCGCTGATGGACATCTGACTGCCAACATTTTCGCGCAATTCTACATGAACAATCGGTTTGCACTTGGTTTGCAAATTACGGTTGGCACTCTGTTGAGAGGTGCTAAGTACTCTCGGCCGGCAAACGCTATTGTGTGTCCTAGCCTTTATAGATGTTGTTTAGCTTTGATGACGTATTGTGAGGATGGGCCTCAAAACCATCTAATCGTCGTCCATTACGCCCATATCCTATCAGAATATTATATTGAGTTATTCACTGCGACCTTAACACTTAAAGGTCAGTTTAGTTTTTTTTATATGAGTAAACTTGCTAAAGTGCCAAAATTCAGCATTTTGACATGTCCCTCAGTGCACCCTCTATCACTTTCTAGGAAGATTTTTAACCCCAACATTTCTCTTAAGTTTTCACCATCATTGTAAAGCCCTAGTTATTTTGTTACTTTGACAGTCATTTCTGAAGATTATTTATTTTGTGTGATTTATTTATCTGGCCCTCATTTTAAGGTCAACCCAGTTACTTGAACTGAACTCTTGTTTTAATATGGTGAAACTATTCCTTTTTAAATATTTTTTTCTAAAGAAACATTGAACATCTTATTAAATCATAGTGTAAAAGCAGGTGGGTTGGTTCTACTCTTTTTGGCCATTTTCTGGTGTTTTGTGCTGGAAAACTGAGCAGGTCGAGCATAACATGTCAACCCTGTTACTCACAGCTAGATGGGCTAGAAATGTTTTAACAATGTAAATGTTTTTGAAGTTTGCATTCAATTACCATTTCCTGTTGCACACTACAAGCTTCCATTCCCTCTGTCAAAATGAGATTTATGGCTGATTTAAGATGAAATCGTCAACCTTTTATGGGAAAACATGTTTTTTTATCAAGTTGAACATGTGCTCTTTATGACAGAATTTAAAAAATGGGTGAAATCAGAAGTTTTTTGGGCAAGTTATACTTCTCCAAAGGCACAGAATTGGTGGAACGACCCCCCCCACAGAGCAACGCTTATGTCAGGCATTTTCACGTCTCGCAATTGGTATGCACTCATAACAGACCTACAGTACTTCTCTCAATTTAGATTCTGAGGCTGTTCCTGTTCTGGACCGAGGAGGTTGTGAATATAGGCCAGTAGTTATTTTTCTTACTGATGGTGCTTCAGTCTGGGCCAAAAAAGTTATGTTAGTTTAGCTGAGACCTGTGTTTGATCCTCTGGATGTCCTGTGTGGACATTTTGTAAGGATTCCAGATGGAATAGCAATAATCTTCTCTTCAAGGATGGTGTCATTAGGATTTGTGAAAAAAAAACACTGTCACTATCAGTTGTTGATTAGCTACATATATAGGCTAGCTCAGCTGAAGTGTTGCGAGTCATAATTTTTATCATGGCTTTTATAATCAGTTGAATTGACACTATAGCAGTACATTTAACACCAAATGCCCCTTAGAAGCATATTGCATTGTATAGGCTACATCCAATAGTTCAACCTTCCAAACCCACTATCTCCTCTGTCACTACACACCCACAATCTGCACCCACATGGAGGAAATGGATGCACCATAACATACACTAAGAACAAAATATTGCCATTGATATTATGGCTGTCCATAAAGATGTTGTACCTACTGGTGGGGATTTACAGTGCCTTGCAAAAGTATTCACCCCCCTTGGCGTTTTCCCCATTTTGTTGCATTACAACCTGTAATTTAAATTGATTTTTATTTGGATTTCATGTTATGGACATACACAGAATAGTCCAAATTGGTGAAGTGAAATGAAAAAAATAACTTGTTTCAAGAAATTCTAAAAAATTAATAACGGAAAAGTGGTGCGTGCATATGTATTCACCCCCTTTGCTATGAAGCCCCTAAATAAGATCTGGTGGAACCAATTACCTTCAGAAGTCACACAATTAGTTAAATAAAGTCCACCTGTGTGCAATCTAAGTGTCACATGATCTCAGTATATATACAACTGTTCTGAAAGGCCCCAGAGTCTGCAACACCACTAAGCAAGGGGCACCACCAAGCAAACGGCACCATGAAGACCAAGGAGCTCTCCAAACAGGTCAGGGACAAAGTTGTGGAGAAGTACAGATCAGGGTTGGGTTATAAAAAAATATCAGAAACTTTGAACATCCAACGGAGCACCATTAAATCCATTATTAAAAATTTTAAAGAATATGGCACCACAACAAACCTGCCAAGAGAGGGCCGCCCACCAAAACTCACGGACCAGGCAAGGAGGGCATTAATCAGAGGGGCAACAAAGAGACCAAAGATAACCCTGAAGGAGCTGCAAAGCTCCACAGCGGAGATTGGAGTATCTGTCCATAGGACCACTTTAAGCCATACGCTCCACAGAGCTGGGCTTTACGGAAGAGTGGCCAGAAAAAAGACATTGCTTAAAGAAAAGAATAAGCAAACACATTTGGTGTTCGCCAAAAGGCATGTGGGAGACTCCCCAAACAAATGGAAGAAAGTACTCTGGTCAGATGAGACTAAAATTGAGCTTTTTGGCCATCAAGGAAAACGCTATGACTGGTGCAAACCCAACACCTCTCATGACCCCGAGAACACCATTCCCACAGTGAAGCATGGTGGTGGCATCATCATGCTGTGGGGATGTTTTCCATCGGCAGGGACTGGGAAACTGGTCAGAATTGAAGGAATGATGGATGATGCTAAATACAGGGAAATTCTTGAGGTAAACCTGTTTGTCTTCCTGAGATTTGAGACTGGGACAGAGGTTCACCTTCCAGCAGGACAATGACCCTAAGCATACCACTCGAGTGGTTCAAGGGGAAACATTTAAATGTCTTGGAATGGCCTAGTCAAAGCCCAGACCTCAATCCAATTGAGAATCTGTGGTATGACTTAAATATTGCTGTACACCAGCGGAACCCATCCAACTTGAAGGAGCTGGAGCAGTTTTGCCTTGAGGAATGGGCAAAAATCCCATTGGCTAGATGTGCCAAGCTTATAGAGACATACCCCAAGAGACTTGCAGCTGTAAAAGGTGGCTCTACAAAGTATTGACTTTGGGGGGGTGAATAGTTATGCACGCTCAAGTTTTCTGTTTTTTTGTCTTATTTCTTGTTTCACAATAAAAAATATTTTGCATCTTCAAAGTGGTAGGCATGTTGTGTAAATCAAATAATACAAACCCCCCCCTCCAAATCAATTTTAATTCCAGGTTGTAAGGCAACAAAATAGGAAAAATGCCAAGGGGGTTGAATACTTTCGCAAGCCACTGTACAGTAGGTATAATTGCTGTGTGGCCCTTTTTTCTGAATAGACATGCCTGGTTGTCTAAGCCTGTTAGTAATCTGTGTTTATGGCCCAGCGCGGGCTCTCTACCCCTGGTGCTGATGAGCTGGCTTAACACACACAGACACACACACATACACACACACACACACACACACACAGAGAGAGAGAAACCACCTGGCTCATTATTTTACAGTGCAATTCTACAGATTAGCTCAGCCTTGTTGCGCTTCCGAGCAGCTGTTTTATCATTTAATTTACATGTGGCATGGCATCATACTGTACCTAGCTGATTGGATGCTGCAAAATACAGTACAATCTTTTTGGTTAAGGACATCGCATTATAAGCAAGCAATAGCAGGTATTCAGACCGCTTGACTTTTTCCACATTTTGTTACGTTGCAGCCTTATTCTAAAATGGATTAAATAGTTTTTTTGGCTCATCAATCTACACACAATACCTCATAATGACAAAGCAAAAACAGGTTTTTATACAAAATAAAAAACGGAAATATCAAATTTACATAAGGATTCAGACCCTTTGCTCAGTTATTTGTTGAAGCACCTTTGGCAGCGATTACAGCGTTGAGTCTTCTTGGATATGACGCTACAAGCTTGGCACATCTGTATATATGGTGAGTTCCTCCCATTCTTCTCTGCAGATCCTCTCAAGCTCTGTCAGGTTGGATAGGGAGCGTCGCTGCACAGCTATTTTCAGGTCTCTCCAGAGATGTTCGATCGGGTTCAAGTCCAGGCTGTAGCTGGGCCACTCAAGGACATTCAGAGACTTGTCTCGAAGCTACTCCTGTGTTGTCTTGGCTGTGTGCTTAGGGTCGTTGTCCTGTTGGAAGGTGAACCTTCGCCCCAGTCTGAGGTCCTGAGCGCTCTGGAGCAGGTTTTCATCAAGGATCTCTCTGTTCTTTGCTCCGTTCATCTTTCCCTCAATCCTGACTAGTCTCCCAGTCCCTGCCGCTGAAAAACAACTCCACAGCATGATGCTGCCACCACTATGCTTCACCGTAGGGATGGTGCCAGGTTTCCTCCAGACGTGACACTTGGCATTCAGGCCAAAGAGTTCAATCTTTGTTTCATCAGACCAGAGAATCTTGTTTCTCATGGTCTGAGAGTCCTTTTAGGTGCCTTTTGGCAAACTCCAAGCGGGCTATCATGTGCCTTTTACTGAGGAGTGGCTTCCGTCTGGCCACTCTACCATAAAGACCTGATTGGTGGAGTGCTGCAGAGATGGTTGTCCTTCTGGAAGGTTCTCCCATCTCCACAGAGGAACTCTGGAGCTTTGTCAGAGTGACCATTGGTTTCTTGGTCACCTCCCTGACCAAGGCCCTTCTTGGTTTTTGTTCTGACATGCACTGTCAACTGTGGGAACTTATATAGACCGGTGTGTGCCTTTTCAAATTCTGTCCAATCAATTGAATTTACCACAGGTGGACTCCAATCAAGTTGTAGAAACATCTCAAGGATGATCAATGGAAACAGGATGCACCTGAGCTCAATTTCGAGTCTCATAGCAAAGGGTCTGAACACTTATGTAATTAAGGTATTTCTGTTTTTTAATTTTAATAAATTAGCAAAAAATTCTAGAGACCTTTTTTTCGCTTCGTCATTATGGGTTATTGTGTGTAGATTGAGATTTAAAAATTTTTATAATCAATTTTATAATAAGGCTGTAACGTAACAAAATGTGGAAAAGGGGAAGGTGTCTGAATACTTTCCGAATGCACTGTATGTAATAGGGTTACTTGAATGGCTCATCTCATGGCTGTAGTAAGTATCCTGTCTGTGTGACCGGGCAGATATCTTTTTAGCTTCTTGCAATATGATGCTGCAAAAGCTTATGGGATTTGGTTGTGATTATGAAATGGATTTGAAACAAGGCAAAATGCCTGGGACAATAAGAACCACAGTCAATGAAAATATGTAGTCAAATCAATGGTAGTAAAACACTAATTGACAATCTCTGTGTCTGCAGAGCAAGGTCTGGAGGAGATGAGGAAGCTGTTGTTGCTGTTGCTTGGCTGTGCCGTCCAGGTAAGTCCTACACTCATCACCCCCTTAATCATCTACTGTCAGTAGTCTACCATTACCATACCTTTCCTGTAGGATAAGCACTCACTCGTCTACTGTTATGGGTAGCTCTTACACACTAGTTCCTGAACATCAATAACCTTCAGCTCTATTGTTCAGACAAGTTTTAACACAGCTACAGTTGTATGAGTAATGTGAGTAAAATGAGTCATTCTCACTCAGACTAGCATTAGTTCCCCATTCCTACTTCCTCAGCAGAGTTGGCACTGTGACAGGTGGTCTGTCTTCTGTCCTGGCAGCAGGCCAGAGAAGGGTCAGAGGGGCTGTCAGAGGGTGTGTCTGCTCCATGGGAGGCTCTGTATGCCCTGACCCGACCCTTGTCTCTGTCTTTGCCCTGGGCCTGGCTGGAGTAGCACTGATGATGCATCATACTTAACCCCTGGCCAGAGAGACGCTAACCTCACACAGTCATTCTCGTTCATACTTCGTTCACTGTTTTGGGAGTTCTGACATAGGATACTTCTTCAAAGACTCCTGAAAGGGAAATATGTATCCATCTCATCTTTATGTGTGAAGTCAGTGTTGATTAAATGTTGTTTTCTAGATCATAATTGGTAGGTGACAATGTTCTATTACAGGCTAACTAATTTTTAGCTGAATTCCTGGTGGTTTTAGTCTTGTTTGACCAAAAAATCAGGCACGGGCCGGTTATGGCCTGGGGGCCGCCTGTTACCGACCCCTGACCTACACATTCCTTCACAGGCATCTTTCCTCAAAGCCAACCAATCAGAACCCAGGCCATTCTCCTGTTAAGAAAACGTAATAATTCCATGCGGAAGCATTCGAAAATAAACAAATTAATGGGACCAGCGCCGTTGATAACTACTAGTGCCGTTACTAACTAGCAACGCTAGTCCCATGAATTGCAAAGAGTTATGGGATATTAGAACCCTGTTGTCTTAACTTTGTAATCTTCAACCTCGACGTTAGCTAGCTGGCTAGATCTTTTTTCTGGCATTCGCTTAAAATACTTTTTTCCCCCACCAACGTTATAATATCTGCTTCAGACTGCTTGCCTTCTGCCTAGGCAGCGAAGCTACAATGCTTTAGCTGGTCCCATGGTTGATTCAGAGCGGTAGAACCTCTGCATTATTGTGACGCTATTGTCTTAACTTCCCATCTTCAACCTAGCCTGTCTTTAGGAAGCTGACCTCACAAAGACCTCTCTAACATTCCACTCTCCAGACTGTCATCCTAACCCCAAACTGCCTCCTTTTGTTTGCAGTGTGAGAAGAAAGAAGAGTACATCGAGAGGATCCAGACCCTAGACTTTGACACAAAAGCTGCCATAGCATCTCACATCCAAGAGGTATGAGCGTTTATTTTTTTTGTGAGGGCATCCAGTTCAAACATAAACCCTGGGACCTCGTGTGTCTATTTTGGGCCAGCTTTTTGTGTAAGGACACTTAAGTTATTGTAGGATAGATCTGTGAGTTTATCAGCCAAATGTATGGCACTGCCCTTCACAGCAGTTTGAGTTCAAGTAAATTAGTTGGCTTCCCATTGCTGTCAACACATTTGTTCTGTGTATTGGCTGGTACATTGGCTGGCAGAGTGAGATGACTCTATGCTGTTGTTTTGAAGGTGACCCACAACCAGGAGAATGTTGTGGACCTGCAGTGGCTGGAGGGGGGTGAGCTGCCCCCAGAGGACCTGGAATCCTTCTCCAGGAACATGGCCTTCCATCTCAAACGCCTGGTGGACGAGAGAGACGACCAGCTGGAGGTACATGTCTGAAACAGGGCACATTGGTGCCTTTATAACTCTGCTCAAGAGAGTACGTAAAATGTTGTCTCAATGAAAGAGAGTGGGAATTTGTTAACGGCCTGTGTAAAGTCTGTATGGTGCAATGGTGTGTCTGTGCATTTTCATGGCATGTTCGTCAATTTGTGTGTGTATGTGTGTATGGTGTGTGCCCACCCATACGGTTGCCAATGACTGGTGTAGCAGCAGTCCCAGCATCCTATGGGCTAGGGGGGCGGGGAGAAGGAGGGGGGATGATAATGATCTCCAGATCTCCACTGGAGGCCAGACGCTCTTCATTAAAAGCCCATTTCCTTGCATGGCCACTGGGTTATGAACGGAGGACGAGAGAGTAGGGATGCGGGGTGAACTACAATGACGATGATGGGAATACGTTGTTGTCACAGACCATTTTAAACCCAATGCCTTTTGCTACTCTTATCTCCGAACCCAGCCTAATATACTCATGTTGTGTGCCGATACTTAAGCCTTAACTGCATTGGGCTTTTCATTATGTTTGGGGTTTCCATTTATGTGACTGATCCCGGTGGCTAGGTGCTGCTGCTCCTCCCCTCAGAGGTCCGTCCTAATTGGAGTCATCTCCCTAAGCTCACACCTCCCAGACTGAGCAGACAGAACAGCAGGGGAGCCTGACGCAACATAGGTGCTACTGTTCAATAACAAGGTGTCACGGTAGACTATATATAGACTGCAATTCACACCGTCATTATCCTCAATCTTCAATACCCTGTCTGACAACTGCTTTGTCCCTCATTGTGATCAATGATCTAACACGGTTAAATGCAATTTGGTGAGAGTCTTTTTTTCACCCATCTAAATCTGTTAGATTACTTGGGCTGATAATTTCAAGTAAGGAGGGACGGATACATGTGTTAAGTATAGAAGATGTGTGTAGGATACATGATCAGGGTCCTGGTCTGTGAGTTGTCTACAGGGATGCAAACTTGTTACTTTTTGGCAATATTCTTTGTTTTGATCTTAAAATATTGAGATCATTGAGCTATAAAAGAGGGGCGCGAAAAGAGTTTCTCCCTGTGTGATCACTAAATAATGGTGTATGTTTCTCATATCGAAATTAATGACTGAGCACAGAATGCATGAATACGCTTTGTATTCAGGACATTTCTTAGCCACATTTTTTGGCAATTTTACTTTAGTGCCTTATTGCAAACAGGATGCATGTTTTGGAATATTTGTATTCTGTACAGGCTTCCTTCTTTTCACTCTGTTATTAGGTTAGTATTGTGGAGTAACTACAATGTTGTTGATCCATCCTCAGTTTGCTCCTATCACAAACCCTGTGTGGTATCACGATACTACTCAGTATCGTGAAAATTGGCCATCGTTAGTAAAATGTTGGTGTAGTGACAACCCCACTCTGAAAATAGGCAGTTTACACAGAAAATGTTTTGTCACCTTCTTGGGCCTTCACCAGTTTGCATCCCTGGTCTAAGTGTTGTGGTGTTGTGTCCTTCCAGACCATTGTGGAGCTGACCCTGGAGAGGGACTGTGGACAGTACTCTCCCCCGCTCCTCTTTGCCCAGTCGCCCAACGACTCGCCCAGCATGCGCCGCACAGAGAGCCGCCAGCACCTGTCTGTGGAGCTGGCCGACGCCAAGGCCAAGATCAGACGCCTGCGCCAGGAGCTGTAAGTACCCCATTTGGCCTTTCACCAGCTCTGTATATACCCCATTGGCCCTTCTGAGTAAGTCTGTGGTAGACTGCAAACACTGTTGGCCCTCACATGATCTCTTAACACACCATTGGTTCTCACAAGTTTTATAAGCTTCCTACAAGTATCCTAAGAGTACTGTGTGTGCTTCGTGCTGTCTAGCAGAGTGTCTAAATGTGACACTGCATTCATCTACTGCTGTCTCGTGACTGTCTAGTAATGAAAAACAACCTAGTACGGTGTGTCATTGGAGTTAGGAACCGTGACTCAGCTCTCTGTCTGTCTTTGAGGAGTATCCCATTCTTTGTTCTCCAGTTCATGGAGCACTCTAACGCTGACCGGAGAGAACTGCAAAAGCAGGAAACTAATTACGGAACTAAAAGTTTTATGTCAGTGATATTGTTAAAGAAGAATACATTTCCTCTAGCCTCTCAGTAGGAAACAAATGGTTCTACACTACTGTTCTGATGCCATAGTGCTAGACCTTTTTTATTGTTGTCATAAACAATTGAACATCCTCTTCAGAGTCCATTAACCCTGGGCAGAGACAAAGGCCAGTGGTCAGTTTATCAAAGGGAGGGGTTGTTACGAGAAGCTTTCTCCGTTTTCGGGCGGAAGTGTTTTCTAGGATGCAAAAAATTGAGCTGCTGACTCTGTGGAATCTCTTCATCAAGTCCATCATAACATTGAAGTGGTTTGTCCAGTGATATGGTTGGGGTTCTGTAATGCAGGCTTCTGAGTGCTGGGTCGAACCGGTTCTAAGGTACACTACATGACCAAAAGTATGTGGACAAAAAAATTGTAGGCCTCCACAAGTCTGGTTCATCCTTGGGAGCAATTTCCAAAAAAAATGTGTGGGCAGAACTGAAAAAGCGTGTGCGAGCAAGGAGGCCTACAAACCTGACTCAATTACACCAGCTCTGTCAGGAGGAATGGGCCAAAATTCACCCAACTTATTGTGGGAAGCTTGTGGGAGGCTACCTGAAATGTTTGACCCAAGTTAAACAATTTAAAGGCAATGCTACCAAATACTAATTGAGTGTATGTCAACTTCTGACCCACTGGGAATGTGATGAAAGAAATAAAAGCTGAAATAAATCATTCTCTCTACTAATAATCATTCTCTCTACTACATTTCACATTCTTAAAATAAAGTGATGATCCTAACTAACCTAAGACAGGGAATTTTTACTAGGATTAAATGTCAGGAATTGTGAAACTGAGTTTAAATGTATTTGGCTAAGGTGTATGTGAACTTCCGACTTCAACTGTATATATATATATATATATATATATATATATATATATATATATATATATATATATATATATATATATATATATATATATGTGTGTGTGTGTGTGTGTGTGTGTGTGTGTGTGTGTGTGTGTATATTTGTGTGTGTATGTATATGTTGTTGTTCTGTCTCTCACTGTTCAAATAAACCTACCATTAAAAGTATAGACTGATCATGTCTTTGTCAGTGGGCAAACGTACAAAAACAGCAGGGGATCAAATACTTTTTTCCCCTCACTGTATATATACAGATATATACGTGTGTGTGTGTGTATACACATACACACACACACATGTATATATCTGTATATATACAGTGAGGGAAATAAGTATTTGACCCCTCTGCAAAACCCTGACTTAGTACTTGGTGGCAAAACCCTTGTTGGCAATCACAGAGGTCAGACGTTTCTTGTAGTTGGCCACCAGGTTTGCACACATCTCAGGAGGGATTTTGTCCCACTCCTCTTTGCAGATCTTCTCCAAGTCATTAAGGTTTCGAGCCTGACGTTTGGCAACTAGAACCTTCAGCTGGCTAGGCCACTCCAGGACCTTAATGTGCTTCATCTTGAGCCACTCCTTTGTTGCCTTGGCCGTGTGTTTTGGGTCATTGTCATGCTGGAATACCCATCCACGACCCATTTTCAATGCCCTGGGTGAGGGAAGGAGGTTCTCACCCAAGATTTGACGGTACATGGCCCCGTCCATCGTCCCTTTGATGCGGTGAAGTTCCTCACCGTTCTCATGATTATTGCAACTCCACGAGGTGAGATCTTGCATGGAGCCCCAGGCCGAGGGAGATTGACAGTTATTTTGTGTTTCTTCCATTTGCGAATAATTGCACCAACTGTTGTCACCTTCTCACCAAGCTGCTTGGCGATGGTCTTGTAGCCCATTCTAGCCTTGTGTAGGTCTACAATCTTGTCCCTGACATCCTTGGAGAGCTCTTTGGTCTTGGTCATGGTTGAGAGTTTGGAATCTGATTGATTGATTGCTTCTGTGGACAGGTGTCTTTTATACAGGTAAGAAGCTGAGATTAGGAGATACTCCCTTTAAGAGTGTGCTCCTAATCTCAGCTCGTTACCTGTATAAAAGACACCTGGGAGCCAGAAATCTTTCTGATTGAGAGGGGGTCAAATATTTATTTCCCTCATTAAAATGCAAATCAATTTATAACATTTTTTACATTTGTTTTTCTGGATTTTTTTGTTGTTATTCTGTCTCTCACTGTTCAAATAAAACGACCATTTAAAATTATAGACTGATCATTTCTTTGTCAGTGGGCAAACGTACAAAATCAGCAGGGGATCAAATACTTTTTTCCCTCACTGTATGTATGTATGTATGTGTGTGTGTGTGTGTGTGTGTGTGTGTGTGTGTGTGTGTGTAAATGTACAGTGGGGAAAAAAAGTATTTAGTCAGCCACCAATTGTGCAAGTTCTCCCACTTAAAAAGATGAGAGAGGCCTGTAATTTTCATCATAGGTACACGTCAACTATGACAGACAAATTGAGAATTTTATTTCCAGAAAATCACATTGTAGGATTTTTAATGAATTTATTTGCAAATTATGGTGGAAAATAAGTATTTGGTCACCTACAAACAAGCAAGATTTCTGGCTCTCACAGACCTGTAACTTCTTATTTAAGAGGCTCCTCTGTCCTCCACTCGTTACCTGTATTAATGGCACCTGTTTGAACTTGTTATCAGTATAAAAGACACCTGTCCACAACGTCAAACAGTCACACTCCAAACTCCACTATGGCCAAGACCAAAGAGCTGTCAAAGGACACCAGAAACAAAATTGTAGACCTGCACCAGGCTGGGAAGACTGAATCTGCAATACACAAGTTTACGCGCTGTATCCCGGGTGGCGCCATAACTCTACACAAATGCATTTCATTTCCGCCGGAAGTTGTTTGCACAACGTCTGCCGGTGTAAACACAGCGATGTCGACGCTAGCTTGGGAACACGGTTGCAGAATTTTTGGCAACAAAGAACTGCGAAATCACAACTGTGGCAAACGGAGATAGGGTAGATTATCATATTGCCTGCAATGGTCCAAAAGGCTACTACATGCAGGTACAAATTGGGATGCACTGCACAGGGCTTCAGCACTCCAAGTTGGTGATCTGGAACAAAACTGAGCACCTAGAAATCGAAGTACCCTACGACCAAGGCTTTGTCCAGGGGCATATCATAAGGCTGCGCACATTCTACTTTGCCCACATGCTCCCGAAAATTGTTGATGATTTTGTTGAGGGAAGGTTACAGTTCTGCAGTAAATATCTCAGCATTTTAAAACCTAAATAAACTGCCTTATTTAGGTCATGCCCACAGGAGCCAACAGATGTCCATTGTTTACATGATCTCTTTATGCTGTGCAATATATCAGTGTGCCTACTGTTTGAGTGAAAATAAAGTTTGATGTAATTTCAATCCTTAGAGTGCTACAATTTATTTTAACACAGTTCATAATTCATAGTAAGCTCATACTGTACATAAATAACACTGGATTAATTAATTGTTTTGAGGAAACTAAACAAATGGCTTCAACAAGAAAGATTGCGTGTTTAATCTTAACAGGTATTAAAAAGTAAAATACAAAAGCAGCCCACACAATTACATCACTATGAAAATATTCATATATAATATTAAAAAATACAATGCACGCAGTATTTGTTGTGTTTATCTGTATTTAATGAACAACATGGCTGGGTGTTGGTAGACAGGGACACAGGGCAAGATTCTAAACCTCACTGATCAGTGGACTCTTCAGGTTAACTAGGCCAGCACAGATGGTTAAGATGTTGTCCAGTTTCGGTGCCATGCTGATGGGAACATTCTGGGATAAAATCTTAAACACCTTCAGTCTCTGGATTGCTCTTTCCACATGTATGCGGACATTGGCTACTCGCCTGGTGCGTGTCGTCTCCTCATTGGTCAACTGATTGCGCCTGTAGGTGAAAGCAGGGATGTTCAAACTGACCCTTCTCTCATCAAGCAAGTCTCGAATGGTGAACCCACGGTCCGCCATGACCTCATCACCAGCCCTCAGATAGTCTAGGAACCCACTGTCCATGGTGATAAACTTATCGCTGCTTCTGCCAGCATAGGCATCAGATATAAACATGATTAGCCCATTAGGGGCCACAGCGACGAGATATTTCACAGTGTTGCGTGATTTATACTGGCTGAAAGTGTCACTCCTTGAGTCGTGGTTTGTGGCTCTCTGCATGGCACTTTCGGCACAGTCAATGATGCAGGTGGTTCGAGGGTAGTTCCTCTGAAACGACAAGGGCATGGTGGCACGAATGGTCTCTCTTGGAAGCCAGGGGATCAGGACTTTGAACTGTTCACCCATCACGTCAATCCAGTGACTAATCACAATGCTTGCCATGGATGTAGACACATTGAAGCGGTGAGCAATATCTCCTAATATTAGGTTTAGTTTTAGTTTCATCAACGTCATAAGTATTTGGTCAACAACAGGAAGGGTAATTGATGGCTTACTGAAAGGCAACAACACCGTCACCAGGGTGAAGAATTGAACCATAAGCACTCCTGTATACAGCCGGGACCTAGCATCATCAATGACCGTGGTGCTGGTCACAGTAGGACCCATTTCTGCCTCGCACTGTGTGGCCTTGTCTACTTTAACAGACTGTGTTGTTGAACAGTAAATGTGATCAATATGTGACGGATCCTCCCATTGGGTCTGGGCATCTCGAAATTTTGGTGTAGCAGGCTCGGCCTCACAGACAGGCTGACAGGTTTCTGGAGCATCTAAAAAGTGGAAGAGAAAACATGGATGGAGCAAAATTAATGCAGGCATAGAGTCCTCTCACTACAAACATCACAATGGAAAAATGTGTACTACAACATTGCACTCACACGCACACACACAATCATCATCACAACAGCCTGCCACCTTGCATTGTATTTATGATGTAGACTAAGGCACACGCAGGCAGGCACACACACACACACACACACACACACACACACAATTAATGATGTAGCTATCGTGGGCATTGTTTGTCCCATCTCCAAAACAATCAACTGCCTTAGCAAAATACCGGTAGCAATGTTAATGTATGACAACTTCTTCATAATTAACAGTATTGTCAGCTTCATAGCTAAAGTTGCTGAACTTACCCTCAGATTCAAGTCTGCGTTTCTTTATCTGGGGGGAGGCAGTGGTCCGCTGGGTGAGTTGACGCCTCTTTGGCTGGGGAGGGCGATTGTATCCCAACCACAACTCTGGGAAAGGATTATCCTTGGTAGGTTTTTGGTCAACAAAGTGATAGGAACAAACAAAAACGTTGAGGGGTGGTTTCTTTAGATTCAATGCCTTCAGCCAGGTCCTTGATTCCGAGTCGGTATCAGGCTTGCGAAAAAATGTAAACAATGGAGCGCATGGACATTGCCTCTTCGTAGCTGGTTTGTGGTCGTAGCACTCTCTATCTAACCACTCGTTCAGGTGCTTTCTCGAGTTTTTGCAACCAACTACCGCACACGTCGTTCCCGAACCATTTTTCTTCATGTTGTAATTGTAATTTTTATATCCTCTTTGTCACTGCGATATCAGTGCTTTGTCGGCACAACGGAGCTAGCTAGCAAAACAAACCCAGCCCGGCAGAACGGAAGTGGATTGCATCGACGGGAGGAGTTCAGGAAGTAGAGCGGAAACGGCTCAAAAACTTGTGTATAGGTAAGCAGCTTGGTTTGAAGAAATCAACTGTGGGAGCAATTATTAGGAAATGGAAGACATACAAGACCACTGATAATCTCCCTCGATCTGGGGCTCCACGCAAGATCTCACCCCGTGGGGTCAAAATGATCACAAGAACGGTGAGCAAAAATCCCAGAACCACATGGGGGGACCTAGTGAATGACCTGCAGAGAGCTGGGACCAAAGTAACAAAGCCTACCATCAGTAACACACTACGCCGCCAGGGACTCAAATCCTGCAGTGCCAGACGTGTCCCCCTGCTTAAGCCAGTACATGTCCAGGCCCGTCTGAAGTTTGCTAGAGTGCATTTGGATGATCCAGAAGAGGATTGGGAGAATGTCATATGGTCAGATGAAACCAAAATAGAAGTTTTTGGTAAAAACTCAACTCGTCGTGTTTGGAGGACAAAGAATGCTGAGTTGCATCCAAAGAACACCATACCTACTGTGAAGCATGGGGGTGGAAACATCATGCTTTGGGGCTGTTTTTCTGCAAAGGGACCAGGACGACTGATCCGTGTAAAGGAAAGAATGAATGGGGCCATGTATCGTGAGATTTTGAGTGAAAACCTCCTTCCATCAGCAAGGGCATTGAAGATGAAACGTGGCTGGGTCTTTCAGCATGACAATGATCCCAAACACACCGCCCGGGCAACGAAGGAGTGGCTTCGTAAGAAGCATTTCAAGGTCCTGGAGTGGCCTAGCCAGTCTCCAGATCTCAACCCCATAGAAAATCTTTGGAGGGATTTGAAATCCGTGTTGGCCAGCGACAGCCCCAAAACATCACTGCTCTAGAGGAGATCTGCATGGAGGAATGGGCCAAAATACCAGCAACAGTGTGTGAAAACCTTGTGAAGACTTACAGAAAACGTTTGACCTGTGTCATTGCCAACAAAGGGTATATAACAAAGTATTGAGAAACTTTTGTTATTGACCAAACACTTATTTTCCACCATCATTTGCTAATAAATTCATTAAAAATCCTACAATGTGATTTTCTGGAAAAAAAATTCTCATTTTGTCTGTCATAGTTGACGTGTACCTATGATGAAAATTACAGGCCTCTCTCATCTTTTTAAGTGGGAGAACTTGCACAATTGGTGGCTGACTAAATAGTTTTTTTCCCCACTGTATATGTGTGTGTATATATGTATATATAATTCCAAAATATAGACTGTTTTTCTGTAGGAGTACATATACTTTAGTCTCGTGTGGAGATGGTATTTCCATAGAAACCACAGACACCTCCAGTCACCCAGGCCTGATGCTGATGTCTGAGGATTTGGCCCAGATCAGATGATGCCGTGCCGAGGCATGATCGATATTCTTTATGAGTTTTTGACCTACTTACGCAGTTCCTCAGATCACAAAACCTATTGAATTCCACTTTCTTTGCTCCGATTTCTGCCCGTTGTTGACTCTGGCTCACCAACACTAGAGGGAAGGGGAGCTGACCATTCTCTGCCAAAGGCATGCTGTAAAACACAATCAATAGAGATTCAGTTCTACTGTCTTTAATGGTTGCCAGGGAAGGTCCTTTTGAGGGCCCAGTAAAGTGACCATACCTCCAGCAGAATGTCTTAAGAAAATATGGCTTAATGTTCATGTTATTTTTGACCTTAAGTACGAAACCTGGTGTTAAGAGGAATGCAGGAATAGATTGTGTAGAAATAGATGATGATGTAGCCCCTAAAGGCCCAATCTCCATCTCAATCCTGTCAGGTTCTGTGGAACTACAGTATGGTGCATTTTCTATTGTGAATGTTAGACTGTAAAATGCAGGTAGACCATGGTACCATGGTTGTTAGTGTGACTCAGAGCTGCTGCAGGCTCAATGCTGTCACCCACACAGACTCACAGTGGATGAGCAGCTTTTTGTTCGGCCTAGGCTGTCAACTACTCTTTGTTAGGGCCTTAACGAAACGTGGAATACAGTGAAAGGTGTTGAAAAGTTGTTTTGCTGCTGAGGCTGAATGTCTGTTGACAGGATCTATGGTGGGATGAGATGAAAGGGCTCCAAACAGAAGAGGTACACACTTGGTGTGTGTGTGTGTGTGTGTGTGTGTGTGTGTGTGTGTGTGTGTGTGTGTGTGTGTGTGTGTGTGTGTGTGTGTGTGTGTGTGCTCACCAAAAGCAGCTGTAGCAACAGCAGCAGAACGTGAGTTTTATTCCAGGCACGAAGCTAGCTGCTCCAGCCTCTGATTTCAACATGCACATCACAGGAAGCATGGAACAGAACAGTGATAATAATTCCTACAAGCAGCAAAGCCAGTACAGATCACTAATCTAGCAGGCCATCGTAAAGTATGTTCAGTGGACCAAGGAGACTGGAAAGCATCTCCACTCATCTGAAGAATGCACAGTCCTCTTCAAAGCTTTGTGTGACGCTTTCTTAATTCCTCACCGACCGGGAGCCTGCAGGACTGGCCTCCCTCAGCCCTAGTTCTCCCGAGAGGCTGTATCACAACCGGCCGTGATCGGGAGTCCCATAGGGTGGCGCACAATTGGCCCAGCGTCGTCCGGGTTAGGGGAGGGTTTGGCCGGGTGGGATTTAGAAGTAGGCAGTCATTGTAAATAAGAATTTGTTCTTAACTGACTTGCCTAGTTAAAAATGCATTTGGGTTGCATTGCATTGTCTGTGGTGTTACAATCGCGCAAACCCATTAACAGTAGAATATGATGTTGTCAGATGAGATCTTTTTGTTGCTAATTCTGGGTTGAGGGGGTTTGAAGTCAGTCTAGTTAGAGACAGAGCGAGGAAAGGAATCTGTTGGCCTGTTGCTCACTTAACCAGATGTTATCTGGATTTGCTCTATTATAAAGAGCTGGTGGAACCAAAGCAAGGCAGCTCTACAGTTAGAGATTTGCATGCCATAGTGGGAGATTGTCATGAGGTCATTTGTAGGTTGTCTTTGTGGTCCTACTTTGTATATTTTCAGTTGAGCTATGTTTGTTGTCCTAAGGAAAGAGCTGCTCTGTCACAGTTGAAGTTATATAATAACACAAGAAAGGTGTTGTTTTTTTCACTCAAGATCAATGACTTGCTTGATTCTTTTTTCAAGTACAAATTAGGTTGTTTTCATATGATCAAAAAGACAGAAGACATACTCACACACTCACTTCTGCTGTTATCTCAATTGTTCATAACACATATAAATGAATTATCCTCACCTGCAGAGTCTGAATGTTAAATATAATTCACTATCTACTGTTTATAATTTGGTAAATAATCACATCCCCGGCCCCTGCCCAACCCACACACGCACTAGTAAACAAACTGACCTGACCCGGTAAGGACAGAGGTCCATGGATTCCTATCTGCTGGGTAAACAACTTGGTTTATGCTAACCAATGAGAGTTACATTGCCTAAGTAAAAATTCCAGTTTTTCAAGACTACTTTAGAGAAAACAGAAATAAATATAGCTGTGAGCAGCAATAAACTGGGTTCACAGGATGACAGAAAGGACACAAGTTCAGTTGTATAACAAAGCACTTTATCATGTAGGAACTATCTTCCTTTATGTGCAATCAGTGAAGGCATTACCATGTTTATCTCTCAAATTGTTGAGGTTTACTTTACTGAAATCAAAGGCGTATTTGTGATAGTGTTAGAGTACAATCGTAATGCATATAGGTCTATCTTATAAAGACAATACAAAAAAAGCTCCGCGAAGATTGCTTTACTTTGAGGTTTACGTTATTGAAATCAAAAGCATATTTATGATAGTGTTGGAGCACAATCCATTGTACAACAAACTTATTCACCCACTATCTATAGCAATTGATTTATTCAAGACATTCACAGCGATTTAGAATAAATTGTTGGTCTTTGTTCATCATTTACACAAACTAGCAATAAACTAATATATACAGAAAGTATTCACACCCCTTGACTTTTTCCACATTTTGTTGTTAGTCTGAATTTAAAATTGATTAAATTGAGATTTTGTGTCATTGGACTACACACAATACCCAATAATGTCAAAGTGAAATTATGTTTTTATTATTTTTTACAAATTAATACAAAATGAAAAGCTGAAATGTCTTGTCAATAACTATTCATCCCCTTTGTTATGGCAAGCCTAAATCATTTCAGGAGTAAAACGTTTCTTAACCTCTAAAGGATCGGACCCTTTTTTTCAATTTTCGCCTAAAATGACATACCCAAATCTAACTGCCTGTAGCTCAGGACCTGAAGCAAGGATATGCATATTCTTGATACCATTTGAAAGGAAACACTTTGAAGATTGTGGAAATGTGAAATTAATGTAGGAGAATATAACACATTAGATCTGTTAAAGGATAATACAAACAAAAAACATGCGTTTTGTTTCGTTTTTTAAAATTTTTTATCATCTTTGAAATGCAAGAGAAAGGCCACAATATAATATTGCAGTTTAGGCGCAATTTTGATTTTGGCCACTAGATGGAAGCAGTGTGTGCAACGTTTCAGATTGATCCAGTGAAGCATTGCAATGCTGGACTATTTTTTATAAAGTCTGCCCAAATGTGCCGAATTGGTCAATTGATACATTTTCAAGTACGTATCTATAGAGAACATACAAAAATGATATGGTAATACAACATTTTAGTTTACACACTCCCAGGAATGTCATACATGATGGTTCATTAGCTTATACACTAACTTTCACACATCTAGATGGCCCAGAGGGGTGGGTGTGGAGCCAGAGACAGCAAAGGTTCAAACTGTAGAACCCAGTTCCTACATTTGAATATAAAAATTGATTTTATCAAACAAAACTATGCTACATTTTATCTCTGGGACCCTCAGGATGACAAATCAGAGCAAGATTACTGAATGTAAGTACATTATTACTAACTGTAAGTCGCTCTGGATAAGAGTGTCTGCTAAATGACCCAAAAAAAATTAGAATGTACAGTGAGGGGAAAAAAGTATTTGATCCCCTGCTGATTTTGTACGTTTGCCCACTGACAAAGAAATGACCAGTCTATAATTTTAATGGTAGGTTTATTTGAACAGTGAGAGACAAAATAATAACAAAAAAATCCAGAGAAACGCATGTCAAAAATGTTATAAATTGATTTGCATTTTAATGAGGGAAATAAGTATTTGACCCCCTCTCAATCAGAAAGATTTCTGGCTCCCAGGTGTCTTTTATACAGGTAACGAGCTGAGATTAGGAGCACACTCTTAAAGGGAGTGCTCCTAATCTCAGCTTCTTACCTGTATAAAAGACACCTGTCCACAGAAGCAATCAATCAATCAGATTCCAAACTCTCAACCATGACCAAGACCAAAGAGCTCTCCAAGGATGTCAGGGACAAGATTGTAGACCTACACAAGGCTAGAATGGGCTACAAGACCATCGCCAAGCAGCTTGGTGAAAAGGTGACAACAGTTGGTGCAATTATTCGCAAATGGAAGAAACACAAAATAACTGTCAATCTCCCTCGGCCTGGGGCTCCATGCAAGATCTCACCTCGTGGAGTTGCAATAATCATGAGAACGGTGAGGAACTTCACCGCATCAAAGGGACGATGGACGGGGCCATGTACCGTCAAATCTTGGGTGAGAACCTCCTTCCCTCACCCAGGGCATTGAAAATGGGTCGTGGATGGGTATTCCAGCATGACAATGACCCAAAACACACGGCCAAGGCAACAAAGGAGTGGCTCAAGATGAAGCACATTAAGGTCCTGGAGTGGCCTAGCCAGTCTCCAGACCTTAATCCCATAGAAAATCTGTGGAGGGAGCTGAAGGTTCGAGTTGCCAAACGTCAGCCTCGAAACCTTAATGACTTGGAGAAGATCTGCGAAGAGGAGTGGGACAAAATCCCTCCTGAGATGTGTGCAAACCTGGTGGCCAACTACAAAAAACGTCTGACCTCTGTGATTGCCAACAAGGGTTTTGCCACCAAGTACTAAGTCATGTTTTGCAGAGGGGTCAAATACTTATTTCCCTCATTAAAATGCAAATCAATTTATAACATTTTTGACATGCGTTTTGCTGGATTTTGTTGTTGTTATTCTGTCTCTCACTGTTCAAATAAAACGACCATTAAAATTATAGACTGATCATTTCTTTTTCAGTGGGCAAACGTACAAAATCAGCAGGGGATCAAATACCTTTTTCCCTCACTGTATTTACCTTCAGAGGTGAATGTATCAAACCAGTTGCCGTGATACGTTTTTTGTTGTTGTGCACTCTCCTCAAACAATAGTATGGTATTTTTTCACTGTAATAGCTACTGTAAATTGGATAGTGCAGTTAGATTAACAAGAATTTAAGCTTTCTGCCCATATAAGACATGTCTATGTCCTGGAAAGTTTGCTGTTACTTACAACAGTCATGCTAATCTCATTAGCGCACGTTAGCTCAACCGTCCCGTATGATCCCGTAGAGGTTAACAAGTCACATAAATTGCATGGGCTCTGTGTGCAATAATAGTGTTTAACATGATTTTTAAATGACTACCTCTGTACCCCACATACAGTGCATTCGGAAAGTATTCAGACACCTTTTTCCACATTTTGTTACGTTACAGCCTTATTCTAAAATTGATGTTTTTTTGGGTTTTTTTTATCCTCCTCAATCTACACACAATACCCCATAATGACAAAGCAAAGACAGGTTTGTAGAAATTTTTGCAAATGTATTAAAAATCAAAAACAGACCCTATTTACCTAAGTATTCAGAGCCTTTGCTATGAGACTAGAAATTGAGCTCAGGTGCATCCTGTTTCCATTGATCATCCTTGATGTTGCTACAACTTGATTGGAGTCCACCTGTTGTGAATTCAATTGATTAGACATGATTTGGAAAGGCACACACCCATCTATATAAGGTCCCACAGTTGACAGTGCATGTTAGAGCAAAAACCAAGCGTGTCTGTAGAGCTCAGAGACAGGACTGTGTCGAGGCACAGATCTGGGGAAGGGTACCAAAACATTTCTGCAGGATTGAAGGTCCCCAAGAACACCGTGGCCTCCATCATTCTTAAATGGAAGAAGTTTGGAACCACCAATACTCTTCCTAGAGCTGGCCGCTGGCCAAACTGAGCAATCGGGGAGAAGGGCCTTTGTCAGGGAGATGACCAAGAACCCGATGATCACTCTGACAGAGCTCCAGAGTTCCTCTGTGGAGATGGTTGTCCTTCTGGACGGTTCTCCCATCTCTGCAGCACTTCACCAATCAGGCCTTCATGGTAGAGTGGCCAGACGAAAGGCACTCCTCAGTAAAAGGCACATGACAGCCCGCTTGGAGTTTGCCAAAAGGCATCTAAAGGACTCTCAGACCATGAGAAACAAGATTCTCTGGTCTGATGAAACCAAGATTGAACTCTTTGGCCTGAATGCCAAGCGTCATGTCTGGAGGAAACCTGGCACCATCCTTACGGTGAAGCATGGTGGTGGCAGCATCATGCTGTGGGGATGTTTTTCAGCGGCAGAGACTGGGAGACTAGTCAGGAACCCGATCGAACATCTCTGGAGAGACCTGAAAATAGCTGTGCATCGACACTCCCCATCCAACCCATCCAACAGAGCTTGAGATGATCTGCAGAGAGGAATGGGAGAAACTCCCCAAATACAGGTGTGCCAAGCTTCTAGCGTCATACCCAAGAAGACTTGAGGCTGTAATCGCTGCCAAAGGTGTTTCAATAAAGTACTGAGTGAAGGGTCTGAATATTTATGTAAATTTAATATTTCTGTGTTTTTAATACATTTGCAACATTTTCAAAAAAACGGTTTTTGCTTCATCATTATGGGGTACTGTGTGTATCTTGATGAGGGGAAAAAACTATTTAATCCATTTTAGAATAAGGCATTAACGTAACAAAGTGGAAAAAGTCAAGGTGTCTGAATATTTTCCGAATGCATTGTATGCAATTATCTGTAAGGTCCCTTAGTCAAGCAGTGAATTTCGAACACAGATTCAACCACAAAGACCTGGGAGGTTTTCCAATGGCTCGCAAAGAAGGGAACCTATTGGTAGGTGGGTAAAACATGTTTTTTTAAAGCAGACATTGAATGTCCCCTTGAGCATGATGAATTTATTAATCACACTTTGGATGGTGTATCAATACACCCAGTCACTACAAAGATACAGGCGTCCTATCTAACTCAGTTGCCGGAGAGGAAGGAAACCGCTCAGGGGTTTCACAATGAGGCCAATGGTGACTTAAAAACAGTTACAGAATTTAATGGCTGTGATAGGAAAAACTGAGGATGGATCAGCAACGTTGTAGTTACTCCACAATACTAACCTAATTGACAGAGTGAAAAGAAGGAAGCCTGTACAGAATACAAATATTCCAAAACATGCATCCTGTTTGCAATAAGGCACTAAAGTAAAACTGCAAAAAATGTGGCAAAGAAATTCATGTCCTGAATACAAAGCGTTATGTTTTGGGGCAAATCCAACACACATCACTGAGTACCACTCTTCATATTTTCAAGCTTGTCATCGGCAAGGACTAGGTTTTTTTTTTTGATAAAAAGAAATGGAATAAGCTAAGTACAGGCAAAGTCCTAGAGGAAAACCTGGTTCAGTCTGCTTTCCAACAGACACTGGGAGACAAATTCACCTTTGAGCAGGACAATAACCTAAAACACAAGGCCAAGGATACACTGGAGTTGGATGTTGCTGAGTGGCCTAGTTACAGATTTGACTTAAATCGGCTTGAAAATCTATGGCAAAACTTGAAAATGGCTGTCTAGCAATGATCAACAATCAACTTGAAAGAGCTTGAATAATTTTTTTAAGAATGTGCAAATATTGTACAATCCCAGGTGTGCAAAGCTCTTAGAGACTTACCCAGAAAGACTCACAGCTGTAATCGCTGCCAAAGGTGATTCTAACCTGTATCGACTCAGGGGTGTGAATACTTATATATTTCAGTATTTTTTTTTTTGTTTTGTTTTATTCAGGCTGTAACGCAACAAAATGTGGAATAAGTCAAGGGGTATGAATACTTTCTGAAGGCACTGCATGTACATTAATGTAATAGAATGAACAGTACCTGTCAAATAAATACAAATCAAACGAGTCCAAACCACTTCCATCAATGGAAATAGATTTTCAGCTCCTATTTATTTCTGTGTGTCTGTAGAATCACTCTCCCTTCTCCATCATCCATCTCTGCTTTACAGTCTTATAAAAGGCAGACTGTTGAAGCTCCCTCCAATGCCATGTACACTTTGGCTAGGCAGTAGATATTTTCCTGCCACTCCAGGAAAGCCGGTATGTGTGTGAGGGCCTTTCCGTGGCTGGTGGCAGAACCTGTACAGACGGCCGGAGGGATGCTGCTCTGAGGATTTTCTTTCCTCTGATTGCTCCTTCCTCACTGCCTCTGTTTCAAGACCTTCAACTTCCATTGAAAGAATGCAGATCGGATCGGTCTCACCAGGGAGGAGAGCCAGAAAGTCATGCATGTCCGTCCTCTGCTGAAATAGACAACCAATTACCTTCAGTGATAATAATCACACAGCTAAACTACGTGAGTGACTGAGAGGCGGAGAGGTAACTGTGATCATGTCGCTATGATGTTTCTTTTTTTTGTTGCATTCAGTCACGAGGCACATTGAGCTTTTTTAGGTTGTCTTTTTGTAAAACTTTTAACTTGCTTTATCGGGCAACCACGGAGCAGACTTAATTTTTCCGACTGCTCACCTTCTAGCAGTCTGACGGACTAATCTGGGTTTGGTGGATGCCAGGAGAACGCTACATGCCCCAATGCATAGTGAGAACTGTACATTTTGGTGGAGGAGGAATAATGTTCTGGGGCTGTTTTTCATGGTTCGGGCTAGGCCCCTTAGTTCCAGTGAAGGGAAAACTTAACGCTACAGCGTACAATGGCGTTCTAGACGATTCTGTGCTTCCAACTTTGTGGCAACAGTTTGGGGAAGGGCCTTTCCTGTTTCAGTCGGACAATGCCCCCGTGCACAAAGCGAGGTCCGTACAGAAATGGTTAGTTTGTCGAGATCGGTGTGGAAGAACTTGACTGGCCTGCACAGAGCCCTGACCTCAACCCCATCGAACACCTTTGGGATGAATTGGAACACCAACATCATTAATGCTCTTGTGGCTGAATGTAGCAATGTTTCAACATCTAGTGGAACGCCTTCCCAGAAGAGTGGAAGCTGTTATAGCAGTAAATGGGGGAACCAACTCCATATTAATGCCCATGATTTTGGAATGAGATGTTCGATGAGCAGATACTTTTGGCCATGTAGTGTATAATTCTTGTGCAATATTATTTAATTATTTCATATATTTTACATGTGGTAATGCCACACAGAGGGACCGACACCTGTAATAATCTGTAGTACCCAAAAGTGCCACTAAATGTCTTGTGATAGATTACATAAAACCCTTGAAAGATACCAGAATTCTGGTAGTTTACTGGTAAACGTCAAAAGTTTCCAGTAATATACCCTCCGTTTGCAACCCTAACCATGAGCCTACATAACTAATTTGTTGTGATTTGGACTTTATGGTTCATGTGAAGGTTTTCCAAAATGGAGGAAAATCTATCCTGACAGACCTTATGGGTCCTTGAGGCAGATTTGTTCAGAATGAGGAAAGACACCTACATACCAAGTTTAAAGTCTAAGTCAAGCGGACGGCGGATATGAGGGTTTAAGTGAGACTGCTTATAACAGCGCCACCTATAGGCCAATCAGTGCCTTTTTGACCAAGTTACTCATGGCCAAATTAGAAATATGTCAAGAAAAAAATTATCATAAGAATAACAATAGATTTCACAGCTTTGGTCTTTGTTTGTGATGAAGGATGTTTTACAGATATGTCTCTTTCTCTCCCTCTCTCTTTTCCTTCTCTCTCTCTCTCTCAGGGAGGAGAAGAGTGAGCAGCTGCTGGACTGTAGACAGGAGCTGGACAATATGGAGACTGAGAACAAGAGGATTCAGCAAGAGGTACTGGACAAAACAAACCTAGCTACTACAGCACAGAGAAATATAGAACAGATTTCCAACTCAGCATTAGAAAGAAGAAACTAGTACAACATATAGCCCGACATAACACATTACCGTTCAACCCCAGAGCAGACTGAGACCTCACTAGTGTGGCACAGAATAGGTCAACACAGCTGAGTAATCACCGGGAGTCAATTACAGCTGATGTCAGAGTTCCCAGTCCACGTCACATTACACGACTTAGCACCAGCATGACTCCACTTAATACACTAATACACACAGTCTGCCTTGGACCAACATGTCTCTTCTGATCTCCAGCTACACACTTTTACACAGAAACTATGCACTGACCATGCTGCTGAGCTATGCTAGGCATCAGTCCAGCTTTACAAGCCTGCCACACAAAGCTGGCCCACCGACTACTAGACAAAAGCTCCACCTATAAGACATCATGTCACCAGTGGTGCCCTGACTGCTCTCAGGGTTATACAACACATCAAACCATCTCCACCACCTCCTATTGTAAATGCTTAATCATTAGGTTAATGCCCTTAACCAATTAGTGGCTGAGCTATCTATAGTTTGGCTAACTCCTTAGATGTAGGCAAAGATGTTCTTTTATTTATAGTCTTTGCTGTAAACATGATTCGCAGCGCTAGAAAGTAGGGACCACAGCAACAGCATGGCAGAGGTGCTTGTTATTGTGTGTGTTGGGTCATTTCAAATCCCCCTTCCAGAGAAGATTACTGGCTAATGACCCTATTGACTAAGGGGAGCTTTAGCCTTTCCCTGTGTATGACTGCCATGTGTGTGTACGTGCATGCGTCTACCTACTCAGTCTATGGTGTCTACCACCTGAGTGTGTGAATGTGTTTGTTTACCAATATGAATTATGCCTGTGTGCAATGCATGTACACGGAGTGTACAAAACATTAGGAGTACCTGCTCTTTCCATGACATAGACTGACTAGGTGAAAGCTATGATATTTTATTTATGTCACCTGTTAAATCCACTTCAATCAGTGTAGATGAAGGGGAGGAGACAGGTTGAAGAAGGATTTTTAAGCCTTGAGACATGGATTGTGTATGTGTGCCATTCAGAGGGTGAATGGGCAAGACAAAATATTTAAGTGCCTTTGAACGAGGTATGATAGTAGGTGCCAGGCGCATTGGTTTGTGTAAAGAACTGCAACGCTGCTGGGTTTTTCACGCTCAACGGTTTCCCGTGTGTATCAAGAATGGTTCACCACCCAAAGGATATCCAGCCAACTTAGGAAGCATTGGTGTCAACATGGGCCAGCATCTTTGTGGAATGCTTTCAACACCTTGTAGAGTCCGTGCCCCGACGAATTGAGGCTGTTCTGAGGGCAACATGGGTTGCAACTCAATATTAGAAAGGTGTTCTTTCGTTTTGTACACTCAGTGTATATAGTGGGAATGAGTCTGTGTGAAAACAAATATATTGTATGTGTGTGACACTGACATTAAATGTTTTGTTTGTTCCCTCCAGAGCCTGCAGTTGTTGTCAGACGCGCGTTCTGCCAGGGCCTATCGTGACGAGCTGGACGTTCTCAGAGAGAAGGCCATCAGAGTGGACAAGCTGGAAAGTGAAGTGGGACGCTACAAGGAGAGGCTCCATGACATTGAGTTCTATAAAGCTAGAGTAGAGGTACACCCAACAAACAAATAGCAGTTCAGCACCCAACAAGCTTGACCTGTCAATTAAGCATCCATTGGGTGTAACATAAATGTATTGACAATGTTTGTTGAATGTTGTGAGCCCTGTGTATTAGAAGTGATAGGGCTGTGGCTGATGTTGATCTGTGCTGGGCCCTACAGGAGCTAAAGGAGGACAACCAGGTTCTGCTGGAGACCAAGGCCATGCTAGAGGACCAGCTAGAAGGAACCAGGGCTCGGTCTGACAAACTCCATGAGCTGGAGAAAGAGAGCCTGCAGCTCAAATCCAAGATCCACGACATGGAAATGGTGAGGGAGAGATTGAGAATGAAAGTCTGTGTTTTGTGTGTGTGGGATTAAAGGTTAACAGACATGCTGGTATATTTGTATATTTTCTCTTTATGGAAACATTTTGTAGGTTCTCTCTGAATAAAATCCCATATACTGTGCTGAATAGGTTCTCACTGTAAAATACAATTTATGCTTGATCCAGTTATATGCGATCCAGAGGCTTGCGGAGGCCAAATCAAGCTACGTACTGCATTATCGTGCGCTTCCCAAATGTTGTACAATACGGAGGGCTCCATATAGCTCTGCATTGACATGATTGGTTGACGATATGTGGAGGCGGTACGTCATGTATAAACACAAACTCCCTTCCTTGAAAACTTCCTTTACAACAGCTCAGCTCCACGAAGCGCAATAAGTATGAATGCCCTGACTTCTACAGAGGCCGCATCGCAGTAAATGCTATACTGTCAATGCAAACGCCGGAATGACCTTAAATCGGCTTTAAGATTTAGTAACTGTATAGCCATCCTGACAGTACGTTGTGTGTTTGTCTGTCTGTGTGCATCAGGAGCGGGACATGGACAGGAAGCGTATTGAGGAGCTGCTAGAAGAGAACCTGGTGCTAGAGATGGCCCAGAAACAGAGCATGGACGAGTCTCTCCACCTGGGCTGGGAGCTGGAGCAGCTCTCCAAGACCCCTGATCTGACAGAGGGTGAGCAGCTTGGCGCAGCAGCCTACAGTAGGCCTACTGGGGCTCTGGCTCCAACCCCGGCCCTGGCCCACCATACACACACAACAGATTGGACAGGGTTTATTTACACATGATTAGCTCCTGTAATTAATATTTAATGAATCCAAGACCCAGATTAGCAACGGGCCTGGATTTGGAACAATGTTTATGGGTTTAACTGGTCTTGGATCAGGATAAACCCTGTGTGTTTCCTCAGTAACTACAGCGCTGATATAGATCTACATTAGGGATGTCCCATACTTCCTCTTCCCCTTTAGGAAGTTCCTCAACACTATAACAGAGCCTTTAGAATTCGGGTGCAGTATGTTGTTGTGTGTCTAACAGAGTTGGTTTCATTGTGCAGTGCCTCAGATGTCTCTGGGCCACGAGGTGAATGAGCTGACGTCCAGCCGCCTGCTGAAGCTGGAGAAAGAGAACCAGGGCCTGCTGAAAACCGTGGAGGCGTTGAGGGGCTCTGCCAGCGAAGGTGCCCCTGCACGCCGCCTCAAGGCCGACAAGGAGAACCAGAGGCTCACCCAGAGGGTCAGAGCAGCTTTTACACTTGTCCCCTACGTCTTCACACTTGCTGCCTAAACATGTGCCCTCATCTGCCCACCCCACATTGGCTCTTTATTGCATCAACAACATAACAATGGCTGCCTGCTCTGTAACCCTACAGTACATTAGCATCTTTCTCCAGCCCCCTATATTTCACCCCAGGACTTGGCTTTCAGGACTCTTAGATCCATGACAACAGAGGGAGTTGAAAGAACTGAGTAAATCCTGAAGTCCATTTCCTATTATTTCTCAGACTTGACACTTGAAGGCCCCTCTCTAAGCTAACTCTCTCAGCTATTTTCAGATACTTAAACCTTCTCTGTGCTCTCCACATAAAATGCATGAAATGTGCATTTCTCAGGCAAAACTGAGTTAGGCAACAGCACTCTGTCTGTAACAGAGCCCATTTAAAAGTGAATCCAAGCAGGAGCTCTTGCACAATAACAGCCGTTTAACTGGCTGCCTGTAGACAGGCAATAAGAAGGCCATTTTGAGTTAAGCTGCTTTGACATAATTAAGTGCTTGTGAGTATATCTATGATATGATTAGTAATAATCAGCCTGCCTTTTGAAGAATTTACTCCACAAGTGTGGTGTGTATGTGTATACAGTGCCCTTGTAGTTGCTGTTGGTGCCACAGTGTTTGTGCGTTATGTGGTGTACAGGAAGGGGAGTGGGAGAGAATAGATAGAGGATGAAATGGCTGCAGTGAAAAGCTTTTATTTGTAGATAATTCAGCCCCCTGCCTTTCCCTTTGTAGAGGGTGTGAGTGAAGTGAGTGGTAACTATCTAGTGCAGTCAGACAAAGCAGCTACTGGAGGGGAGAGGAGACAACTGAGATTGGAGCCAGTGTTCATCGGAAGAGTTCTATATGGAGTCGGTTACGCATCTCTTTAATATAGGACATGCATCACAACTATTAGAGAAATATAAATAACAATGTCTGTGCATCAATTCAGTTTTACTTTGGCAAATCAGGAAATGAATTTGAGAACAATGGGTTCTTCAATTTAAGTGACCGGATTACAATGTAATTGAGTCCAATCGTGATGGGTAATGATGTGGTACTGCATACTGTCATTGTGTCTGTGATCTAAGTGACTGGGTGCCATGGTAACAGTGCATCCTCTGTGTGTGCCTGCAGCTGGAGCAGATGGAGAGTGAGCTGAACACAGACCGGGAGAGTCTGCACAGTGCAGAGAGCCTCAGCACCGACCTGATGAAGGAGAAGGCTCTGTTGGAGAAAACCCTGGAGACACTGAGAGAGAACTCAGATAGACAGGTACACAGGCATGCATGTCCATGCTCAAGACACAAGCAGCCCTTCATTTTAGGTGGGTCAAAGGACTGATTTGATGTTGTTCTGGTCTTGTTCCAAGAAACTCAAAATGACATTACAATTTAATCATTATGTATCTGGATTGAGTTTTCTTAGGAGAGAGCAGTATTTGTGCTTGCATTCTCCCAGTGAGTTTGAAGAGCTCTGTGTGGCTTGGGGGGTAATGAAAGCAGACAGAATCTAATGAGGCACCAGACACAGGGAGTTTAGATTGATGATGTTTACAGTAGAAGAACAGGGACACAAGCCAGATCTCTGGTGGACCTACACTACAGCGTTCAGAGTTAGGGCCAGGAGCTTTTCATGACCACTCGACCTGATTAGGAAAGATTCAGGACCCTAGGGTATTATTAGAACAAATAGTTTTTCATGGTCAAATAATCTCTGGGGCTCTGTTGATATTAACACCATATTGAAACATGACTGGAGTTGAAGCTGTCCCATACCGCCACTCAGACGTCCTCCATGTTCCAGGTGAAAGGCCTGGAGCAGGAGAACGAGCATCTGACCCAGACCGTCTCATCGCTGAGGCAACGCTCCCAGGTGGGCGCTGAGGCGCGGGTCAAAGACGTGGAGAAGGAGAATCGCGTGCTACACGAGTCCATCCGGGAGACCAGCTCCAAGCTCAACAAGCTGGAGTTTGAGCACAAGCAGCTACGTAAGGACCTTGAGGTGTACAAGGAGAAGGGCGAGAGGGCGGAGGAGCTGGAGGTGGAGGCGCAGCGGCTGGAGAGGGAGAACGAGGCCCTGCAGAAACGAGTAGCCAGTCTGGGCATCGCCTGTGATAAGGTCTGCCCCTGCATGCATTGGTGGCTGTAAACTTCACTTATATTTGTCGGTGTACCTGGTGTCTATTGTGTGCCAAATTAGTCACTTATTTCTTACTTTGTTGTGCAGCTCCCATTGTATACAGTAGATGGGAGTTTGAATGAGGAAAAGTGCTTTATTGACAAATGTTCCCATATTCTCCCAAATCTTCAGGTGGTGTCTCTGGAGAAGGAGAACTCCGAGCTGGAGGCAGAGGGCCGTCGTTTAAAGAAGTTGGTGGACGGCCTGCGGAGCACATCCTTCCAGCTGGAGGCCCTGGAGAAGGAGAACTCCCAGCTGGACGAGGAGAACCTGCAGCTTCGCAGGGCTGCTGAGGTGCTCCGCTCGGCTGGGAACAAGGCGGCTCAGCTGGAGCTGGAAAACCGTGAGCTGGAGAGTGAGAGGAGCCAGCTGAAAAGGAGCCTGGAGCTGCTCAAGGCCTCCTCCAAGAAAACTGAGAGGCTCGAGGTGAGCAACCAGGGCCTGGATACAGAAAACCAGCGGCTGCAGAAGGCCCTGGAGAACAGCAGCCGCAAGATGCAGCAGCTGGAGGGGGAGCTGCAGGACGTGGAGCAGGAGAACCAGAGCCTGCAGAGGAGCCTGGAGGAACTGAAGATCTCCAGCAAACGTCTGGAGCAGCTGGAGCAGGAGAATAAGACTCTGGAGCAGGAGAGCTCTCAGCTGGAGAAGGACAAGAAGCAGCTGGAGAAGGACAACAAGAGGCTGAGACAGCAGGCGGAGATCAGGGACTCCAAGATGGACGAGGACAACCTGAGGATCAGCCACCTGGAGAAGGAGAATCGCTCCCTGGGCAAGGAGATGACCTCATTCAAGGACTCCTGCAACCGCCTCAAAGACCTGGAGAAGGCGAACAAGGAGCTGGTCAAACAGGCCACCATCGATAAGAAGACCCTGGTCACTCTGCGAGAGGTAATGATGTAGCTACTACCTTAGAAATGCATGGTGTAATGGTAGGAGATATATTGTTATGGTAATGCATTGGGTGAATGCCCATAGGACTTCAAATGTGCATTTAGAAGATTGATTAAAGGAAAACTCCACCCAAAACTATCTTTTGGTATTTGTTTCATTAGTCCATTGTTGATATAGTCCCAACATGTTTTGCATGTCAGCAATCAAGTTTTCAAGATGTATTTTGAAAGTAAGATATCTTGAAAACTTGATTGCTGACATGCAAAACATTTTGGGACTGACCTTTAGGTTCAGCTATAATCATTGCACCCGCATTATGCGAGAAGTAATAAAACCAGAGCACTATGCCAACACTTTTTCTCAAACTTGGAACTCCACTATGTTCCATTAAGGCCATTAAGATTGGATTATTCATGAATAAAGGATTAAGTTCTAGGGATTATGAATGTAGAAAGGGAAAGGAAAGGGGGTACCTAGTCAGTTGTACAACTGAATGCATTCAACTGAAATGTGTCTTCCGCATTTAACCCAACCGTGACTCTGGATTGGCGTTTGATGTTCCAGGAACTGGTGAGTGAGAAACTGCGGACTCAGCAGATGAACAATGACCTGGAGAAACTGACCCACGAGCTGGAGAAGATAGGCCTCAACAAGGAGAGGCTGCTGCAGGACGAGCAGAGCTCTGACGACGACAGGTAACACACACACACACACCACTATGCTGCTGCTCAAAGGTACCCATCCCCCCATAAAGAATTCTAATCACATCAATGAAGGTTCATATTAGGCACTCTGCCAACAATACAGTGTCAAGACATTGAATTCTGTCCAGGAAAGATCCTTTGTCTTTTAATGATTGTGAATGTCCCTTATGTGCAGGTACAAGCTGCTGGAGTTCAAGCTAGAGTCCACTCTCAAGTCTTCTCTGGAGATCAAGGAGGAGAAGATAGCTGCCTTGGAAGCAAGACTGCAGGAGTCCTCCAACCTCAACCAACAACTGCGCCAGGAGCTCAAAACTGTTGAGTCCTAAAACAATACAGAACAGCAGCCCAGTGAAAATTCTGTACCAAAACATTATCCCAGAGAGGTTCTGTGTTATGCTTCTTTAACACATGACTCAGAGAAATGCTCAAATGCTTCTCAGAGGCAATTCATTATTTATTAATTCCTTTTTCATTGTGTTATCTATTCATGAGGCACCAGGAGCCTAGAAAACACAGAGAATAGTTTCCGCAGCATATGTTTAACTCTGTGACGAAAACTAGAACTCTTGCCGCTGGGGTGCCAGAACAGAGAACAGTGTTAGTAATGGAACTCATAGCATGGGCATATTTTGGGGGGTGGAGGTTTAACCATTTCACCTTTGACCTCTCCAGGTGAAGAAGAACTACGAGGCCCTGCGACAAAGGGAGGAGGAGGAGAGGATGGTGCAGAGCTCACCCCCCAGAGGAGGGGACAGGGAGGACTCTCAGGTGGTCAACAAGTGGGAGAAGGAGAGCCACGAGACCACCCGGGAACTGCTGAAGGTCAAAGACCGCCTCATCGAAGTGGAGAGGAACGTGAGTAAACTCCATCTAATCAACAACTCAAAACAAAAACAGCAATCTTAGATACAGTATGTGACAGTGATGTGTCACTGAAGTGTGAAGGGCCTCTGTATATAATTAATGCATGCGTGAATCTTGTGTGTCTCTCTGTCATTTTCAGAACGCCACCCTCCAGGCAGAGAAGCAGGCCCTGCATACCAACCTGAAGCAGCTGGAGACCCAGAGCAGTAACCTGCAGGCTCAGATTCTGGCTCTACAGAGACAGACTGCATCTCTACAGGAGAACAACACCACCCTACAGACCCAGAACGCCAAACTACAGGTAAGACCTGGTTCCCTCTGTTGCTCCTTCACTGCCGTTCCCATGCACCCTATACGTTGGCCTTGTCTACACTGCATCCATAGCCTATATTGTAGTTTAAACCCTCCCCAAGCTGTCTCTCTCCACTCTGCCACATGGCTAGAGAGAATTCCCATCTCATAAGCCACATCTAACATTTGACCACTGATGTTTATCCAAATCAGACAAGGACATGCGATGTCTCAACCATCACTGTTTACTGGATGGACAGGCTGTCTGTGTACACAGTGCCCCCTATTGCTCAGAACTGACACATACACCTATTCAAATTATTTGGTGTGGTTCTCACCCTGTTTTTTTTCACATAACTGAATAATCTAATCCAATGCAATGCCTAGAAGGACATGACAAAATCCTTGAATAAATAGATCTAGTTAAGGGCATTTCTGAGTAAATAAGTTCAGACAGCACAGATGTCCAATCAGATGTCTTGTTTCCCCTTTAGGTGGAGAACTCCACCCTGAACTCCCAGAGTGGTGCTCTCATGGCCCAAAATGCCCAGCTTGCGACACAGCAGTCCAGCATGGAGAACGAGAAGGAGGGGGCGGTGAGGGAGAGGGAGGACCTGAGGTCCACCTATGAGATGCTACTGAGGGACCATGAGAAGTTGGCTGCCCTGCATGAGAGGCAGGCCTCTGAGTATGAGGGCCTCATCGGCAAACACGGAGGCCTGAAAAGTGCCCACAAGAGCCTGGAATCACAGCACAGAGACCTGGAGGACAGGTGGGGTTTCTACTGGTGCTGTTATGTGCTTACAGTATACTGTAGCACAGCTGGCATCGATCACACACTTAACCACACACGGCCAAATACACATGCATGACAGTCTTACTATGCACTCAGTTCCACACTACCATTACACAGTACTCAAGTCAGAGACACATATACACACACAGCTGCCATCCACTAACTGGTGGTAATGTGTTGCAGGTATAACCAGCTGCTGAGGCAGAAGGATCAGCTGGAGGAGCTGGAGAAACAGCTGAAGGCACAGCAGGAGAAGATGCTGTCTGAGAACATGAGCCACGAGGCCACGGCTGTAGACTACTACAAACTGAAGGAGGAGAATGAAAGGTGAGTGTTTCAGGGACTGAGTTCTGTGTGTGTGTGTCTGTTTGTATGAGAGAGTGGGGGAGGAGGAGGGGAATTTGCCCTGAGGGTTACTTTGAGGTGCAAGGGAACATCCTTAAACTGTCAATCCAGGTGCAGAGAAATCTGTGCAAGAAGATCTTTAGAGAGAGAGGGAAAAGAAAGTCTGCATGTTTTGAGTGGCAGTATGCAGACATTTTAAGTGGTTGCAATTAGAGAACTAACCATTTGGTTGTTATTTTCAAACTGAAATGTTAATAAGTGTGTTTTTCCCTCGTCTTGAAAGGTCAGTCCCTCAAACCACGGTTTGACATGTGACAGGGGCTATGAGTAAAGAATGTGCTGTTTAAAAACACATGATGACGTCTCTGTGTGTGTTTCTGTGTGTAGGCTGAACATGGCACACTGCCAGCTGGTGAAGGATAATGAGGGACTGCAGGTTGACCATAAGAACCTGAAGAGCCAGATGAACGGTGCCAAGCTGGAACAGACCCGCCTGGAGGCGGAGTTCTCCAAACTCAAAGAGCAGTACCAGCAGCTGGACATCACCTCCACCAAGCTCACCAACCAGTGTGAGGTACGGTTACACTCCCCGCAGTCCCCCTTCACTCCCTCCCACTCACTAACCAGTGTGAGGTACTACAATATCTGTACCCCCTTCCCATAGACTGACCACTAGGTTGTAATTTTCATGTTCCACATATTTCCCAACTCTATCACAGTTAACTCTTGGTAAATGTAGTCATATGTTATGTAAGTGTTCAAAGCCGATATGTGGCCTCGGTCCAGACATGCTTATGTTTGCCTGACATCTGTCTGTTGGAAAGGAAGGCTGATAGAGTAGATGTGCCTGGGGACACACAGCTGGTTTCTCAATACCATGCTCTATGAGGCTTAACAAGTGTCTGACATGTATTCACCCACTGTGAAGGGAAGGCACAGCCCACGTGTAATACATACATACAACAATGTGAAAGAAACTTGGACACCATCCACGTTGCTCAATGAGTATTTCCCATTCAAAATGGAGGTAACAAAAATAGTATATTTCTCTCTCCCTAGTTGCTGAGTCAGTTGAAGGGAAACCTGGAGGAGGAGAACCGTCACCTGTTGGACCAGATCCAGACCCTGATGCTGCAGAACCGCTCCCTGCTAGAACAGACCATGGAGAGCAAGGACCTGTACCACGTAGAACAGAGACAGTACATGTGAGAGATGACCCCACTATTACGTTTTGCAACCCTGTAACCAGTGTTAACTTTAACATTTCAATAGGATAAATGTCTGTTTCTTGGCTATGTAGCTAGATGTCATTTGTGCCTGTCCCTAACTGGTCTTTCCGTCCTTCACAGTGACAAGCTGAACGTGTTGAGGAGACAGAAGGAGAAGCTGGAAGAGAAGATCATGGACCAGTACAAGTTCTACGACCCCTCACCTCCACGGAGGTAAGTAGCTTGGAGGAGTCCACTGCTGTCATTGTGGTTGGTGCTGTGACCATATATCAGCCTCTGTTATAGTAAACAGCTGACTGAGACAAAGCTGACACCCCCCACATGAAAATAAAATATATAACTGCAGTAGATTGCTGCAGTTGTCTGGTTATGGTTCATTCCATTGCCTAATCGACTGCCTTAGCTCGTGTGTGCCTAACCATTCAGTTCTGATTCATTTCCATGCCTTACTAAATGCATATGGTTGAAGTCTGAACCTAACCAACTCCTGCATATGGTTAAAATGTCTACCTAACGAAGAAGCTCTGGTTCATGTTTATGCCTAACCAACATCATCATAGCTGTCTCTGGTGAATTGGAAGGCTGTGGTTTACAAGAACTCCCCTGTTTCAATAAGGCACAAAATGGGAATACAAAAAAATTAATTCCCTTCATTTCAAAACATTGCCCCCCTTTTCGTGCCTACTGAACACTACCCAGAGTCAAATAATGTACCCCAAATTACAAACCCCTCCTACTCCCCCTCTCTCTCTCGTCTCAGACGAGGGAATTGGATCACCCTGAAGATGAAGAAGCTGATCAAGCCGAGGAGTCGGGAGCGGATGCGTTCCCTGACACTGACGCCCACACGCTCCGAGTCCAGCGAGGGCTTCCTGGGGCTTCCTCTGGACAGCCAGGACTCCTCCTCCATAGGCTCTGGCTCCAACTCCCTGGATGACACGCTGACACACAAGAGGAGCAGCAGTGAGTAGACACTCTCTCAGGCCTGCATGGAAAACACCCTACTGATCAGATCAATCAAGCCTTATTTGAAGTGCAATAAAACACATTAATATACTTCACAGTAAAATAGACACAATAGAAGGAAGTAATATAACTATATTTTAAGAGAGTCCGCTCCTGACCAGACAGTCTAGTACTAGGTCTTCCTCTCACTCAATATGTCCCTTCCTCTGACCAGAGGGACTAACACACAGGAAGAAGGACTAGATCACATATTAGCTAAATAAGACACGGGGAGCAGAGCACATGTTAATAAATACATGTGGGGTTACACACAGGAAATGCATGTTCAGGCAGAGACAGGTAATATGATGCACGCAGACAGAGAAACCGAAGTACACTGGGTCAGACAGGAAAGTACACGCTGACACAGACACTAGAACATGAGCAGGGGTCATTTGCAGACAGTGAGGTATGCAGGGCGGGAGACACCAGGACAGTAGCTGCTTGTTGCTGTGTGGTGGCTGGTTGTGTGGGCCTAATGCTTGCTGTGCTTGTTTTTCTCTCTCTGAACGATAGGGAAGAAAGACTCTCAGAGAGTGCAGCACTCCCATGTGCAGAGTAACCAGGGCAACCAAGGTTCCTCTAATGGTATGCTGAGAGGGGAGGGCTGGGCGGGGCTTGTAGTCGAGCTGTCCTGTCACTCAAGGCACGTCAACATGTCGTGACTCATCCTTCAGTCAATGGTCGCGTTCCCCTACTCAGATGTTGCATGCATCAACCAATGCTTGCGTGCCACGTCATCGACTGATAGATTGCTATAACATATGATGTGGTTAGCTGATACATAAAATACCTATCCAGGCGTTGTAAGATCTGGCAGGCGTCAGCAACGCCTGGGCAAAGGAACGCTCCCACATTCCATACCTATTAAACGGTGCAATGCATTATAGGTCACCTGTGCTCAATGCACCAGCTATATATATCTATCTATCTATACAGTACCAGTCAAAAGTTAGGACACACCTACTCATTCAAGGATTTTTCTTTATTTTTACTATTTTCTACATTGTAGAATAATAGTGAAGACATCAAAACTATGAAATAACACATATGGAATCATGTACAGTGAGGAGAAAAAAGTATTTGATCCCCTGCTGATTTTGTACGTTTGCCCACTGACAAAGACATGATCAGTCTATAATTTTATTGGTAGGTTTATTTGAACAGTGAGAGACAGAATAACAACAAAAAAATCCAGAAAAACGCATGTCAAAAATGTTATAAATTGATTTGCATTTTCATGAGGGAAATAAGTATTTGACCCCTCTGCAAAACATGACTTAGTACTTGGTGGCAAAACCCTTGTTGGCAATCACAGAGGTCAGACGTTTCTTGTAGTTGGCCACCAGGTTTGCACACATCTCAGGAGGGATTTTGTCCCACTCCTCTTTGCAGATCTTCTCCAAGTCATTAAGGTTTCGAGGCTGACGTTTGGCAACTCGAACCTTCAGCTCCCTCCACAGATTTTCTATAGGATTAAGGTCTGGAGACTGGCTAGGCCACTCCAGGACCTTAATGTGCTTCTTCTTGAGCCACTCCTTTGTTGCCTTGGCCGTGTGTTTTGGGTCATTGTCATGCTGGAATACCCATCCACGACCCATTTTCAATGCCCTGGGTGAGGGAAGGAGGTTCTCACCCAAGATTTGACGGTACATGGCCCCGTTCAATTGTCCCTTTGATGCGGTGAGGTTGTCCTGTCCCCTTAGCAGAAAAACACCCCCAAAGCATAATGTTTTCACCTCCATGTTTGACGGTGGGGATGGTGTTCTTGGGGTCATAGGCAGCATTCCTCCTCCTCCAAACATGGCGAATTTAGTTGATGCCAAAGAGCTCTATTTTGGTCTCATCTGACCACAACACTTTCACCCAGTTCTCCTCTGAATCAGTCAGATGTTCATTGGCAAACTTCAGACAGGTCTGTATATGTGCTTTCTTGAGCAGGGGGACCTTGCGGGCGCTGCAGGATTTCAGTCCTTCACGGCGTAGTGTGTTACCAATTGTTTTCTCGGTGACTATGGTCCCAGCTGCCTTGAGATCATTGACAAGATCCTCCCGTGTAGTTCTGGGCTGATTCCTCACCGTTCTCATGATCATTGCAACTCCACGATGTGAGATCTTGCATGGAGCCACAGGCCGAGGGAGATTGACATTTATTTTGTGTTTCTTCCATTTGCGAATAATCGCACCAACTGTTGTCACCTTCTCACCAAGCTGCTTGGCAATGGTCTTGTAGCCCATTCCAGCCTTGTGTAGGTCTACAATCTTGTCCCTGACATCCTTGGAGAGCTCTTTGTTCTTGGCCATGGTGGAGAGTTTGGAATCTGATTGATTGATTGATTGCTTCTGTGGACAGGTGTCTTTTATACAGGTAACAAACTGAGATTAGGAGCACTCCCTTTAAGAGTGTGCTCCTAATCTCAGATCATTACGTGTATAAAAGACACCTGGGAGCCAGAAATCTTTCTGATTGAGAGGGGGTCAAATACTTATTTCCCTCATTAAAATGCAAATCAATTTATAAAATTTATGACATGCGTTTCTCTGGATTATTTTGTTGTTATTCTGTCTCACTGTTCAAATAAACCTACCATTAAAATTATAGACTGATCATTTCTTTGTCAGTGGGCAAACGTACAAAATCAGCAGGGGAACAAATACTTTTTTCCCTCACTGTAGTAACCAAAAAAGTGTTAAACAAATCAAAATATATTTTAGATTGTAGATTCTTCAAAATAGCCACCCTGTGCCTTGATGACAGCTTTGTACACTCTTGGCATTCTCTCAACCAGCTTCAACTGGAATACTTTTCCAACAGTCTTGAAGGAGTTCCCACATATGCTGAGCACTTGTTGGCTGTTTTTCCTTCACTCTGATGTCCAACTCATCCCAAACCATCTCAATTGGGTTGAGGTCGGGTGATGCAGCACTCAATCACTCTCCTTCTTGGTCAAATAGCCCATACACAGCCTGGAGGTGTGTTTTGGGTCATTGTCCTGTTGAAAAACAAATGATAGTCCCACTAAGCGCAAACCAGATGGGATGGTGTATCGCTGCAGAATGCTGTGGTAGCCATGCTTGTTAAGTGTGCCTTGAATTCTAAATAAATCACAGACAGTGTCACCAGCAAAGCACCCTCACACCATCACAGCACCTCCTCCATGCTTCACGGTGGGAACCACACATGCGGAGATCATCCGTTCACCTACTCTGCATCTCACAAAGACACAGCGGTTGAAACCAAAAATCTCAAATTTGGACTCATCAGACCAAAGGACAGATTTCCACCGGTCTAATGTCCATTGCTCGTGTTTCTTGGCACAAGCAAGTGTATTCTTCTTATTGGTGTCCTTTAGTAATGGTTTCTTTGCAGCAATTTGACCATGAAGGCCTGATTCACGCAGTCTCCTCTGAACAGTTGATGTTGAGATGTGTCTGTTACTTGAACTCTGTGAAGCATTTATTTGGGCTGCAATCTGAAGTGCAGTTAACTCTAATGAACGTATCCTCTGCAGCAGAGGTAACTCTGGGTCTTCCTTTCCTGTGGCGGTCCTCATGAGAGCCAGTTTCATCATAGCGCTTGATGGTTTTTGCTACTGCACTTGAAGAAACTTTAAAAGTTATTGAACTTTTCCGGATTGACTGACCTTCATGTCTTAAAGTAATGATGGACTGTAATTTCTCTTTGCTTTTTGAGCTGTTCTTGCCATAATATGGACTTGGTGTTTTACCAAATAGGGCTATCTTCTGTATACCACCCCTACCTTGTCACAACACAACTGATTGGCTCAAACGCATTAAGAAGAAAATAAATTCCACAAATTAACTTTTAAGAAGGCACACCTGTTAATTGAAATGCATTCCAGGTGACTACCTTATGAAGCTGGTTGAGAGAATGCCAAGAGTGTGCAAAGCTAGCATTAAGGCAAAGGGTGGCTACTTTGAAGAATCTCAAATCGAAAATATATTTGTTTAACACTTTTTTGGTTACTACATGATTCCATGTGTTATTTCATAGTTTTGATGTCTTCACTAATATTCTACAATGTAGAAAATAGCAAAAATAAAGAAAAACCTTGGAATGAGTAGGTGTGTCCAAACTTTTGACGTGTGCGTGCATGCGCACACAGTGTCTTGCGAAAGTATTCACCCCCCTTGGCATTTTTCCTATTTTGTTGCCTTACAATCTGGAATTAAAATGGATTTTTGGGGGATTTGTATCATTTGATTTACACAACATGCCTACCACTTTGAAGATGCAAAATATGTTTTCTTGTGAAACAAACAAGAAATAAGACAATAAAACAGAAAACTTGAGCCTACATAACTATTCACCCCCCGAAAGTCAATACTTTGTAGAGCCACCTTTTGCAGCAATTACAGCTGCAAGTCTCTTGGGTTATGTCTCTATAAGCTTGGCACATCTAGCCACTGGGATTTTTGCCCATTCTTCAAGGCAAAACTGCTCCAGCTCCTTCAAATTGGATGGGTTCCACTGGTGTACAGCAATCTTTAATCATACCACAGAATCGCAATTGGATTGAGGTCTGGGCTTTGACTATTCCAAGACATTTAAATGTTTCTCCTTAAACCACTCTAGTGTTGCTTTAGCAGTATGCTTAGGGTCATTGTCCTGCTGGAAGGTGAACCTCTGTCCCAGTCTCAAATCTCTGGAAGACTGAAACAGGTTTCCCTCAATTTCCCTGTATTTAGCGCCATCCATCATTCCTTCAATTCTGACCAGTTTCCCAGTCCCTGCCGATGAAAAACATCCCCACAGCGTGATGCTGCCACCACCATGCTTCACTGTGGGGATGGTGTTCTCGGGGTGATGAGAGGTGTTCGGTTTGCGCCAGACATAGCGTTTTTCCTTGATGGCCAAAAAGCTCAATTTTAGTCTCATCTGACCAGAGTACCTTCTTCCATATGTTTGGGGAGTCTCCCACATGCCTTTTGGCGAACACCAAATGTGATTGCTTATTTTTTTATTTAAGCAATGCCTTTTTTCTTGCCACTCTTCCGTAAAGCCCAGCTCTGTGGATTGTTCGGCTTAAAGTGGTCCTATGAACAGATATTCCAATCTCCGCTGTGGAGCTTTGCAGCTCCTTCAGGGTTATCTTTGGTATTTTTGTTGCCTCTCTGATTAATGCCCTCCTTGCCTGGTCTGTGAGTTTTGGTGGGCGGCCCTCTCTTGGCAGGTTTGTTGTGGTGCCATATTCTTTAAATTTTTTAATAATGGATTTAATGGTGCTCCGTGGGATGTTCAAAGTTTCTGATATTTTTTTATAACCCAACCCTGATCTGTACTTCTCCACAACTTTGTCCCTGACCTGTTTGGAGAGCTCCTTGGTCTTCATGGTGCCGCTTGTTTGCTGGTGCCCCTTATTTAGTAGTGTGGCAGACTCTGGGGCCTTTCAGAACAGGCGTGTATATATCTATATATCTATATATCTGAGATGATGTGACAGATCATGTGACACTTAGATTGCACACAGGTGGACTTTATTTAACTAATTATGTGACTTCTGAAAGTGATTGGTTGCACCAGATCTTATTTAGGGGCTTCATAGCAAAGGGGGTGAATACATATGCATGCACCACTTTTCCGATATTAATTTTTTAGAATTATTTGAAACAAGTAATTTTTTTCATTTCACTTAACCAATTTGGACTATTTTGTGTATGTCTATTACATGAAATCCAAATAAAAATCAATTTAAATTACCGGTTGTAATGCAACAAAATAGGAAAAACGCCAAGGGGGATGAATACTTTTGCAAGGCACTGTGTGTTTGTGTATGTGTATATACAGTGGAGAGAACAAGTATTTGATACACTGCCGATTTTGCAGGTTTTCCTACTTACAAAGCATGTAGAGGTCTGTAATTTTTATCTTAGGTACACTTCAACTGTGAGAGACGGAATCTAAAACAAAAATCCAGAAAATCACATTGTATGATTTTTAAATAATTAATTTGCATTTTATTGCATGACATAAGTATTTGATACATCAGAAAAGCAGAACTTAATATTTGGTACAGAAACCTTTGTTTGCAATTACAGAGATCATACGTTTCCTGTAGTTCTTGAAGGTAGGCCTTGAAACATATCCACAGGTACACCTCCAATTGACTCAAATGATGTCAATTAGCCTATCAGAAGCTTCTAAAGCCATGACATCATTTTCTGGAATTTTCCAAGCTGTTTAAAGGCACAGTCAACTTAGTGTATGTAAACTTCTGACCCACTGGAATTGTGATACAGTGAATTATAAGTGAAATAATCTGTCTGTAAACAATTGTTGGAAAAATTACTTGTGTCATGCACAAAGTAGATGTCCTAACCGACTTGCCAAAACTATAGTTTGTTAACAAGAAATGTGTGGGGTGGTTGAAAAACGAGTTTTAATGATTGCAACCTAAGTGTATGTAAACTTCTGACTTCAACTGTATGTATGTATGTGTATATATATGTGTGTATATATATATATATGTGTGTGTGTGTGTGTGTGTGTGTGTGTGTGTGTGTGTATATATATATATATATACACACACACAACATACAGATGCACACAAACATCAACATCAACAGACCCACCTGTTCTCACCTCTATCTCCAGTGCCTGCACTACTCTCTGCCACATCCTCAAATCACACCATTTTCTTCCTTTCCGTCGTCCACATTCTTTCAATATTTAGATTATGAAGCATATGATTTTTCCATTGACTTAACGATGGATGATTGGTTGATTTCCGGTTAAGTATACGCTTTTTCAAGATAATTGACGAAAAAAGTATCGTCCAACCCATCAGTTATCTCACTGCCCCCTCATATGACATGTCTTGAAATATGCAGAAGTAAATTTACATTGTAATACTTCTGACAATACTTTTTAGCTATACTAAAGACAACCTTTTATGTAACCACATTTGTTTTGTCTTTTAATCGCTATACTAAAGAACCTTTTATGTAACACACACACACACACAATATGACAAATGTCTATAAAAGTTTCGCCTTTAAATTTCTGTAAAATGTAGACAGTCTATAGAACACACGGAGGTTTCTGTGGAGCTGGAAATCTAAAATGGTGTCTCCTGTACAGTCCCAGAATCTACTCTGTTTCTTGCATTAGTAATGGGATCCCTGTGGACATTCCTTCCACTGCAGTGCCGTTCCCCTGGTCTCACTGTTATACCCTCTTAATTGCACCCTTTAATAAACGTCACCCTATGTGTGGTGTTCTGTGTGTTTGTAGTATCTGCTGGCAGCCTGTTGTCTTCGATGTGGCAAACCTCTTTACAGCCATCCCACTTTGCTGTGTGCGTGGCGTTTTGTGTATGAATGTGTTTGAACAGTGAGTGAGCGTTAAAGTGTGTCACTGCATTTGCCCCAATATTTATGTAACACTCTGTGTTTGTTTTATTACCAGTTGAGTCTTCAGGGCGGTACACTGGTTCCCTCCTGGTTCTCAGCGTTAACATCCATCTGTTTTTCCCCTCCTTTCTTTTCCCCCTCCTTTCTTTTCCTCTCCATCTCCCCTGGTCTTTCTGTTTCTCCCCTCTCTGCTTTGGCTGTAAACTGACAGCTCTGAAAAGGTTGCCCTTTATGAGGAACAGATCGAAGGAGAAAGACAAAGCGAAGGCCATCTACCGCCGGTCCATGTGTAAGACCTCCGATAGCCTGGCGTCATACCACCTCCCTCCATTCACCTCCTCTGGCCTGCGCCTGCCTGCTTCCCTCACCTAGCTTCTCTTCTCATAGCTTCTAGCTGGTTTCTTTCCTTCCTTTCTAGGAATAAACAAAACTGAAATACACTAATTTATCACCAATAGTAGATACATATATCTTAACAACTCATTTTGTTGGGTTACATTTGTGTACAGTCGAAGTAATGACATACAAGAACTAACAAATGTAGATATTAGTTCAAACTAACGCTCTTCAATGATTAACAACACTAATGTGAGGTAATGTGAGTGGTAGTAGTGGTGTTCTGTGAACTGTAGTTCTCTTTCTGTATTTTTTTTCACTGTAGTTTTGTGTTGTATCTGTAGATGCGCTCTAGGTTAGTTTTAGTCTAGGTTATAATTTTTTGGGGGGGGAACTCAATCGGGTCTCAACTTACTGTTGCGAGTTAGAATAGTAGAATTCACAAGGTGCAATTTCAAAAATGTGGTTGTGGATCAGCAGTTTTCTTGTTATGTCAGTCACTGATAGTCAGTCAATTAGCCCATGTCAGCAAAAAAAGTTTTTATCGCTATTTAACGCCCAGCTATCTAAACTTGTTATCATGGTCGAATTACCGGCCGGGGGGGCCCCATTGATTTTGTTAGTCAGTCTCACTCAGATATCAAATTAAAAACTTCAAACATTTTTCTCCACCCTATGGCAAAATGTGTAGAATTATATGATATTAGTTATAAAATTGCAAAATCTTCTCTTCGCCCAATGGCAAAATGTGTACAATTGCAGCAAACTTGGTTGAAAACTGCACCATTTTCTCTACACCCCATGGCAAAATGTGTGGAATTGCACAAAATTTACTCTAAAACTTAAACATTTTCTCTCCGCTGTCAAGAGGGGGGCCACTAAAATGTCTTGCTCGCAATGTGGGCAACTGCGGCCCCTCATGATGAGTTCAGATTTTTTGTGGCCCCCACCCTCATCAAAGTTGCCCGTTCCTGGTCTAGGTCTAGTCCATGTATATGTGACAGTGCAGTCGGGCGGTACCGTATGCCATTCCACTGTTCTCTACTGTACTGTATAGTGTGGTGTGGTCTGTGGATGTGTGTGGCCTGCACTGTGTGACTCCCCATCCCATCTATATATCTCTGCCTGAAGTGTGAGCGCAGCCTGCCATCTCACTCACTCGTCTCTCACTACAGCGCTGCTGCAGGCATGACTTAGCAGAACTGCACTGCGCTCTCTCTCTGTCTCTCTCGCCACCTCTCACTCACAGCCACCATGTAGGAATTGAAATAGAGCCTTCCAGTGCTTTTTTTCTCTTTCTCTATATAGCTTTCGCTCTTTTTCCCTTTTTTCTTTCTTACCTTCCCTGCCTTTTTTATCTGTCACTCTCTGCTATTTTTTCGGAGTCTTTTTCAGTTTGGCTGCATTTCAGCTCTTGTGCATGCCTTGCCGACATGGGCTTGCACACACTGACAGTGGCACATCTCTGAATGCTGCTGCTCAGACTCTTAGCAGCCACTGCATGCTTAGCCTAGCCTAGCGCTGCTCCCTGTGCCCTCCCACTAGGGCCACCACATAAGCTAAGGAGGTATCGGCTAATTCATCTTCATCTCCAACCCAGCCATGAACGACCTGCTGCAGACCATTGCCGTGGCAGGGGGCCAGTGGGCGGGCAGCACAGAGAACCTGGAAGGGCCCGTGGAGGCCAACGGGGGCAGCAGTAGTCGGCGCATGAAGGAGCTGGGCTCCATGGCCTACTCCACCAACGCTATCAACTACACCACCCTCACCCTGCCCTCTGGCAACAGGGCCAAGAGCAGCCTGAAGATCAAAGGTAGAGACTACAGGACCACTAGTCGACCCCCCCCCCCCCCCCTCCTTCTGTGTGGTGATGTGGTGAACTATCATATAGGATGTGTATTTACTACCGGTCTTACTGTGTTTCAGAATTAAGTCATTGTTTAATCCATTGTAAATGTATTTTTTTCTTTCATCATTTCCATTTTTCCCTTGTGATTTTGACACCTGTGAATGCCTACCATCATACTCTAGATTTCAGAAGATTGGCTGCCACATACTTTGCTTCCCTCATAAGCCCTATTCTCCTGTAGTCTCTCCATCCCTCCAGCCATAACTCATATTTCCACATCTCTTTGTCTCCTCCAGACAACGCTTCCTGTGAAGACGTTCCAGCATCCTCAGACGACCCCATTGGGGTCAGAGGTCAAGGTAAGAGAACTGTTGACCTTTAGGATAAACTCCCATTAGTATTATTTAACCACAGTGCTTTACACCAGTTTATTACTGGGAGACAAAAGAATAAAATATCAAATGGCAAAAAATAGGCAACAATAAGTGTAAATGTCGTGCCACTAGAAGCTTGGTCCATATCTCTACATTTCAGTTTGCTACCATTAGAGCAGGGTTCTATAACCCTGTTCCTGGAGAGATACCCTCCTGTAGGTTTTTGCTCCATTCCAGTTGTAACTAACCTGATGCAGCTGATCAACCAGCTAATTATTAAAATCAGGTGCTAGATTAGGGTTGGAGGGAAAACCTACAGGACGGTACCGCTCCAGGAACAGGGTTGTAGAGCCCTGCATTAGAGTAGATCTGCCTAAATGACTAGATTTGGCATGCTATCATTAACAGTAAACTCTGCCTAACAAATGGTCTTAAGCAGCATTCCTCCATTAGCTAGTAGATCAGGCTGTCTGCCTACTCCATTCTCCAACTTACACACACATATCACAATTGGTGTCCATTATCTAAATTTTCTGTGCACTCTTGGCTAGCTAAAATGTCCTCCCACTATCATGTACATTGTGTTATACAGTAATGTACCTATTTTTATTATTGCATGAACTTTACGAGAACTGTCTGTTTTATTGCACTTTGTTACAATGTTCTGTAATGTTGGTGAGTTAGCTAATATAATGGCAGATAGCCTAGTACAATGCATTATTTCCTAAAGTGAGCAAAACTACCAGTAGCTCAGTATAAGTGAACTGCACCACTGTAGCCCAGTGGAGTGTATAACATCTGTGGGAGCAGGTTAACCCAGTTAGCTGTGTGTGTTGAATGTGCCAGGCCTACAGGTCTTTAGCAGTGCTCAGGCTCTGTCGCCCTCTGCCCTCTACCCATCCACTATGTGCAGAGTCCCCTGTAGCATCTGTTGTAAGTGACACACCTGTGTACATCTGTCTAAGACCACTAACAGTGCCACTTTACTCAAGACTGCTACTGCTATCAATGATTACCTGCTGACATCACTTCCCCAATACTACTACTGTACCAACCACACCAAACCTGAACCAACTTGAAGACCACTAATAACAGCAACAACGTATCAATTTGCATCCCACACATTCACATACAGCCCACCTATCTTTTGGTACATTCCTCTGCCCCGGGTCTCCTCCTCTCCTACTCCTCTCAATTACCTGAGCCCCTCCCGTGTTGGCCTCTGGGTCATGTCAATCACAAGGCCCCTCTTTCCTCCAATCAGGTTTTACAATAGGTTTTTCCTCGTGAATGATTCCTCCCTTTGAGTTTGTGTGCCCCTCCCCTCTCCACTCCCTTTGTGTGATTGGGCATGTTGTTGGAGTTGCATGGCACCGTGCCACCCCTCCTGCCTGCATACACCATCTGCTGCCCCGTGTGACGTGTCCTCTCAATCTGTGTGCCCTCTTATCCCTATCCAGACTCCAGACCCTCCAGCCTCCATAGTATCAAGACCATCAGTAGTAATAGCAATAATAACTCCCACTCCTCTCCGCTCGAGGCCAAAGGTACAGTCACACCACTAACCAGAACACCCCTTCTCTCCCACGCTCCTGCATACGACACCTCCTTCATTGTACTCTCTCTTGATTCTCACACACACATACACACACAATAGATAAAAAGAGAGAGAGAAAAAACCTACAGAACCCTTTTGTAATCTATTAACATTGATACGGTAACTCTTTTCGGAATGGCTTCCTCTCTCTATCTGAGATATGTTCTGGAAGGGTCCAGGCTAGGTTCTTGCATATTTTTTATTTATTTGCGTTGTCACAAAAAAGCAGGTTTCTGAGCTATGCTGGTTTATATCCAGAGTCTGTCATCACCTTGGGGTGATACTTGTATGTTAGTACCTGAGTTAGTCATACACTGTTAGAGCAGAACTCACCTACAGTAGTGTGTTTCTCTTCAGGCACGTTGAATGGAAACCTCAGCAGGCCCCACAGTGAGAGCAGTGGGGAGTTCAGCCTCAGTCTGGACCAGGAGGAGTGGTCCAGTGGGAGCAGCCCTGTCCAGCACCTCCTGTCCCGCTCCTCTCACCAGAGCCCCATGCTGCTGCGGAGGTCCCTGGACCCCCAGGCCACACAGGCCAAGAAGAAGAATGGCAGCGCCAGCGAGGTGGTCTCTCTACAGCAGTTCCTAGAGGAGAGCATCGACCCTGCAGAGGTGACAGCCTGGAACACACATGAACACTAGATTAAGACTTTAATATACTATTTTTTAGATAGGAGTACTGTTTTATTCATAGGTTTCAGATGTGCTATGATAAGAAACAAGTAGAAGTTATTTCACCACTCAAGTCTGCTATAAAACCCAGGTAATATCATGGTATGGTAACTTTAATGTCTCTTCTCCATCAATAGTCGGGCAGCCAAGAGAATCTGACCATTGAGTCTCCCCGCCTCTCTGGAGGCACTGAGCACGTGCAGAGAGACCGGACAGAGCGAGGCTCCACTGGCACTAAGGGGCGGGGCATCCTGCGCTCAGCCAGTGGGAAGGCAGCGCCAGTGAACTCAGATGGCCGCCCCTCCAGGGCTGCCCAACCAGGTCGTCCCAGCCTACGAAAGGCAGAGAGTACGCGTGTGAAGGGCATGGTCCAGCCACGGGTCAGCCTCTCCTCCCAAAGTAAAGCCATGTCTGTGTCTGAGCGTCTGGACATCTCCTCCTCCACACTGCCCCGGGCCAGCAGCGTCATATCCACAGCCGAGGGCTCCACACGTCGGACCAGCATCCACGACATGTTGTCCAAAGACACCCGGCAGCCCGTGTCTGTGGACCCCACACCCTCCTCAAAGGCCTTGCCTCGCGCCTACACCACGCCCAGTGAGTACCCCCCAACCAACAACCCCTTCCAGTCCCAACATCCCAACCACCAGTCCATCCCCCTAGCCCCAGCCCCCATGCCCCTGTTGAAGTCAGTCAGTATGCCTAGCACAGGCAGTCAGCACCCACCCAGTTGTAGGGAAACTGACCTCTCCAGCCTAGAGTCTTTCTTTGGCTCATCCTTCACAGTAGAGTCAGTGTTTATGGACTCCATCTTCAGCGAGCCAGCCTTCACAGGGGGCAGTGGCAAGAGCCACACCTTCCTTGCCCTCAACACCTCCCTGGTTAGTAACATCAGCGGCCCCCCAGTCAAAACCCACCTCTTGCCCAACCCTGCCCAAACCACCCAGAACCAACCAAATGTGCTAAAGCCCAGCCCACCTGACCAGAATGGGGAACATGAGGTCATTGACACCAATCATGTGCTTGATGCTGACCAATCTCCACCCCTTAGCCCAGAGGATCAACAATCGTTGTGGTATGAGTATGGCTGTGTCTGAATGTGTGGTGCCCTGGTCAGCTACTGATCTGGGACCTGCATAAGGACCAGTGATGTTCGGGGAGAAAGAAGGAACTCTCTGCATGCATTATCAAAGCCCTATCATGCTATGTTTTCCGTTGAGCTTTTATGGGGGGGGGTTTTCATGGCTGATTTGTAAATCCCTGGTTTAGTCTTTCCCTCCGTCCATCACTGAAGTCGGCAGTCCTCTGCCTGTCTTGTGTCATAAGGTCTGTAGCACAGCATTCATACTCCAACCTCTGATGTGGACACTCTAGCACTACATGACTCTTTAGTGTCATCTCCAGTCGGACTTATGACTCACTCGCGGCGCCTCCCAGGGCGGCATAAACCCACACCTCCTCCAGCAACCGCGCCCTGGTGTTCAACCTTCCCAGTTCCTCACGTCCCCCCCTCCCACTCCATGCTCCAGGAACCCACTCGCCCAACCATGCCCAAATGCTCCAGAACCTAACAATGTGCAAAGCCCAGCCTGACCAGAATGGGAACGGACCTCTGTACATTCACTCTGTGCTGCTACTGACCCAACAGCTTGCATTCACCCCTTGGCCCGGGACACCCTTCCTGTGGAAGAGCTCTGTCATGAGTTCGACCCTGGTCGCTGCTCTGGACCCTGGTGACTGTAAACGTGCTCGCGCAGGACAGGGAGTCATCAACCTTCGAGACATTGAAAACCTTTATAAAAGTCCTCCAGTATGTTAGATAGGTTGAGTCGTCTGTAGAGCGTTAATGACGTATTGCCTGATAACGTCAAGTCGAGCTCTGCTAGACTAAAAGTAAATGAATGTAATGGGGATCAATAGTCTAGTATTTTAATCAACATTGGCTATTCTTTTCTAATCACAAATACATCTTCAGAAAACATGCTGCAAAGCTACATTAACTATCATTTGGACATTCAGTTCATCTTTAAAACATCTCCATGTCAGAAGTCCTCCAGAATTAGAATGGAGCTCTGTTTAATAATAACGCAATGAGGCTTGTAGATTTATGGAGTCATTATGTAATCTAGCCCTTCAGAGGAAAGCAGTTTCACATCTATTAAAATGAGATAATATTCTGTTTCCTCTCTGTCTTATTGGGTGTTTGGTATGTGGGAGAATTCTGTCCTCTCTAAAGTACTGTATCACATTGCATTACCAGTCTAATTCTACTGTACCAATCTCAATACATATTCACTGAACTGCATGGCTTTATTCTGTCTTGGTTTGTTCAGAACCTCTCATTTTGATTGTTGCGATCAAAATGGTTTTGTCTTTGTTTTCTTTGGTGTTGTTTTTCTGTTTTGTGCATATGACACATTTTTCTGTTCCATTTCTTTGTCTGACCAAATCACTCAATGTGGTGATTCTGAATTGGTGTATGGGTGAATTGGGGATAAGGGATTGTTTTGGAAGAAACGTCATTCACAAAATGATCTGAGAGGAATGTTAAGCGTTTGAGAGAGAATGTTTTAAAGATAGTTGAGTCTTGTGTTTTTGTTGCTCTAATACAGTGTTAGTAGTGGTGAGAGAAATTTGCATGTGAGACAAATATGATGGGCAGATTATTTTGTGAATGAAAGTTCTTCTACTCTTGGTTGTATTGGATCTGGGTAAAGTCTCGAATGCTCATGGCCACAATACAAATTCCAATTGCACAATAACACATTTTAGGTTATGTATTATTGTAGACTGACTGAGTACAACTTGTACAAACATATTTTTAACCATATTAAGTTATATTCAAGGACAGAAAGCACTCCTGTATGCACCAGCAGTAGGAGTAGTAATGTCGTTGTTAGTTAGATTTTTATTTCTGCTTTATGCATTTGCCATTTTAAATTGTTTTATTGTATTTATCTTGTGTATGAACTTAACTTCGGCCTTAATTCTGATGTAATATGACATGCCTTTGTTCTGCAGATGTGGAAGTGTTACAAGAGCGCAGAAAGTCAAAAAGCAGTGGGGAGCAACAAAGCTCCTAAACATTACTCATCGGCTACCATTATGAGCTCAAGTGGTGAGTGCTGCTCTCTGAGACCAGTGGTGGGGGGTCTCCATGGTAACCCAAAGTGGCATAACAGATGTACCATCCTGTTCGTGCTTGCTTATGCTATGCTGGTGTCCCCCCCCCCCCCCCCCCCCCCCCCCCCAGTCTGGGTGGAACCCAGTAAAGGGCACATGAATTGAGCCTGGTCTGCATGGCGTCTGGTGGAACACACGTTGCCCTTTTTTTATGCCCAACCCCTAATAACAGGAAGTCCTGACCTGCTACCCCCCCCCCCCCCCCCCCCCCCCCCCCCCGTTCCTCAGTGTAACGTGTCCATAGCTGGCTTTTCTTTTACTTTTCTCTGTTGGAATTCAGGAAGAAACACTGCTGGCTCTATATGAGGTTGTGATCCCTTTGTGAGCTTATCTGCAGTGCTGCATGGATTTTGTCTCACGCAGCTGAAACCCCTCCCCTGTCAATGCATGTAGACTGCTTTCTGGTGCGTCCATATATGTGCATCCTCTTCTCTGATGTCATCTGCCTCTAACCTCTTTTTCTGTCCTCTTCTCCTTCTCTCTTCACTCTTCTGTCTGCCTCCAACTCAGAGAGAAAAGTGACCTTCAAGCTGTCTGGCTGACTCTGAAGCCGTTAAAAGTTGGTCTTCAGTGAGAAAAAAAGATTGTGAAAAGCAAAAATATAAAAATACATTTTTTTAAAAACAAAAAATCAACAATGCTTCAATAAAGAAAGTAAAGGTAATCTTTTTTTGTATCCTTGAATCAAGGAAATAAAACTCTAAGACATACAGTATGTGGCGACAGTAGTTTTTCTATAACTGACTTTCTGGCAAATTGCACTGCTATGGTGTGACAGACTGCTAACATGCACCATACACAGACATACTGTTGGTGCCAATGTTCACGCAAAGCCAAATGGGTGAGCTTAAACTAGACCCTGAAGACTCCTTGTTGTCCTCTGTGTGACTTTGAATCAGCTGGATATTTGCTCTCTGCCAATTGATGCTAATGATACTCTTTGTAAATGAGCATGCACATGCAACGTCTTTCTACTGTGGAACAACAGATGTCTACATTCAACAATCTGCACAGAACAAAAAATCTGCATGTGGGCAAGGTCAACCACAATGTGCATGGAGCAATCAACACACTTTTCTTCCAATCAGAATGGACGATGTTTTAAGTTGTTCCTCTGAAATGCCAAAATGACTATCGTGGGAAGCCATGCCAACTGTGATTGACAGAGAATCTAATCAAGACGAAGGTTGTGTGAGCTGAATGGCACAGCTTTGTATATGTGTGTACAGTATGTATGTGCCCACTATCAGATATCTGTCTGTGATGACCTAGTGTTCATTTCCTTTTCCACTTTTACATAAATCCATTTGATGTGATTAAAATTCCAGGTAATCTATTCTTCCTCTGATGAATGATTGATTTGTCTTCATTTACATCATTTATATAATAAAAATCTCACCAGCTAAAGTTGTTGGGATATTGGACCAAAGTAATGTCATGATTTCTATGGACAGATTAATGTAAGGCTCTTTTAAGATAATCTCTAAATTAATATTGTATTGCTATTATATAGAGAAAGGATACAAATATTCCAGTCAAAGCTTTTATAGGACACAAGTGATGAATGGGGGTTGTGCAGATGACATCCATTTACTGGATAGACAAAGCTTGAGTTAACTATTAGCCTACATCTAACGTATACTATGGCCACTCTCTCTCAGTGGTGTAGTCTGGGCGATAAGGAGGTATAAGCCAGCATATACCCACTACATTTTTTGGGGAGATAGCGTATACTCCCAGAAGATAGTAGTGGATAATCAATGTTCCATGATCTGCATTATTACACAGCAGTAATAGTGTCAGAACGGTGTAAATTACTAGATCTTGCCGAGGGAGATACGAGGATGCAACCACCATAATTACTACTACATTGTCTATCAACCATGCACATATAACCAACAATCAAGACTGCTCTCTTGCCCATTGAAAATAAGGGCTCTCCAGACCTTATTCCGTCCCAAAAGTAAACAGAAAATGTTATGGTAAAAAGGCACAAAGGTAAATAACTTAGAAATAAATCATTGTACCAAGCCAAAACACAGTCTGACAGGATATTATATTAATTTCAAGGTATTTACTAGTCAAAGCTCTGAAGAACTGGTTCATGTCCTTTCTCCTTTAAAAATGTCATGTGATCCTCTGGCTTTAGTGCCATAATGGCAGCATTTGTAATGGGATAGAAGTACACGCTCATGGCCTACGTTGACCAGGTCGCTGTCCAGGACAATTTAATGCTCTGGTCCTTGTCACAGAATAGTGCCAGGGCAGTGGCACAGCCTTGGCCCACCTTTTAGTTTCTCCATCATGGGTGCCTCCTCAGCATAGCGCAGGTTGCCACTGCCCAAGCCTAGATTCTTAGCCAGGCCGTTGAGGTTGACTGGATGATCATCAGGAGGACAGAGACTAGCTACAGGCCCTTCTTGTCTATCAGGAAGAGGTTCCTGGCGACTTCTCCACTCTTGAGGTCTTGCAGGTGAGGCATCATCTCTTTCACGGTGAATACTTAAGGGAGAAAAATAAATTACACCAGGTCAGAGTACATCACGTTACTCTGGTATCTCAAGTCTAAAATGGCTTCATAGCCTTGTCTCATTTCATCTGCACTGAAACATCTGGACATGTAAAATAATATTCCCAGTTGGCATCTATCCTACTGCTTTCACCTAGACCGTTGTGGCGAGTGGCACAGTGGTCTAAGGCACTGCATCACAGTGCTAGCTGTGCCACTAGAGATCCTGGTTCGAATCCAGGCTCTGTCGTAGCCGGCCGCGACCGGGAGACCCATGGGGCGGCGCACAATTGGCCCAGCGTCGTCTAGGGTATGGGAGGGAATGGCCGGCAGGGATGTAGCTCAGTTGGTAGAGCATGGCGTTTGCAACGCCAGGGTTGTGGGTTTGATTCCCACGGGGAG